TGCTACGTGATCCATTTGGATTTATTTTAAGTTATGTTTGGAATCGTAGGTAAACTCTTTTATTAATTATTTTCGATTAATTGTCTAATAATCGTCCAATGTCAAAGTTGCCCTGACAGCGATTAGTGAGACCATGGTCATTTGTTACCGTGGATATCATCCATTCAAAATCCCTACTTTTTGGTTTCAGCGTTGTGCAGTCCTCAGTTAAAATTAAAATATCTTTGAAACGGTCCATTTTAAGGGTATTAAAGGTTATGCGTTTTTTAATCGAAATTGATTACTCTATCGATTTGGGCAATAAAAAATTGGTGTTAAGAGAGCAAAAAAATGGAAAAACACAGAAAATGTGACCTGCAACTGCTGGAACCAGAAATTGAGTGGATGTATCCGGTTTTCGTGATTACCAGTTTAAAGGGTATGTTGTCACAGGGAAATGTTCCAAATTTTATAATATTTGGTCAAATAGTTCCAAAGTTATTACAAAAAAATCAAATTTCCATACCCACATTCCGAGGGCTGTAAAATTCTTATCAGTAGAGATAGGACACAAGTTATTATTTAAATTAACATCATTTTATAGGTCATTTTTGAGGTTCAAATATTGCTTCATATTTATGAATAACCCTGTATTAACTTATATCAGATTTCTAACGATAGGTACTAACGGTGGATTTATGCTTCCATATGTAAGATTTATCATTAAAGATTTGATTTAAGAATTTACATTTAAGAAGATCAATTATGCATTTTCAATAGTAACATTTATACTATCATTTAACATTTAAGCTTTAGTGTTTAAGATTTAATTTAATTTAAGAGTTCCCAACTTTTTACGATAAATGACAAATAAAATTTATAAAATCTGTGATTGTCAGAACCTTGTCATTACTGACATTAATCACACTTGAAAAGTAAAATGTTTGTGTCAAATACGAGATTTACATCAGTATATGCTTAAATAAGTACTTTTTGGTTAATTTAAAATTATAAATTATAAAATTTAGTAAAATGTCAGATCCGTAAATTGTTAAATTAAATCTTAAATGGATAAATCTTAAATATGGAAGCATAAATCCATCATATAATTAACGAATTAGTTTTATGGCGAATTATGTTTCTATATTTACGATATAATTTAAGAATCTATAAACTACATTGTCTAACAGTTTCGACAAGTGTAGTACATATAGGCTGTTCCCTTTTTATAGTTACAAATTTAAACAGAAGATAGAATATTTAATTTTAAGACAAAAGTTTTTTATGAACATGTATCGAAAAATGCTACGCAAGAGAGCTACACCCCTCAAAAGGGTGCGTCTTTTAATAAATAGGTTTTTTCCAATATTTTCGAAACCATTTTAGAAAAAATTACAAAATTTGGTACAGACGATAACCTTTATACACCTAAACGAATTGAAAAACATAATGTTGAAATTTTTAATTAAGGGCTTTCTAAACTGGATGGGTTTAGGGTAAAAGCACTCTAACTATATTGCCTGTGGTTTCTTGTCACTTTCAGCAAGAAAATTTTAAATTTCATAATTTTTCATAAAAAAGTCTTTTGCGTTTTTTCGATACAACTTACTGATTTTGAGTAAAATCAGTTTCAAAACTTACGTTACAGATCATAAACAGACAGCATAAAAAATAAAAATTAAATTCGTCTTACTGTTTAGGACGCACATGATTAAAAATTTTGACATTTCAAGAATTCGTTTAGGTGTATAAAGGTTAATTGCTGTACCAAATTTTCTAATTTTATCTATTCTAAAATATTAGAAAAAAACCTTTAAAAAACTTACATAGCATTTTTCAAAACACGTTTATAGGAAACTTTTGGCTTAAAATTGAATATTCTGTCATCTATTTAAATTTAAATTTGTAACAATGAAAATGGAACACCTTGTATTTTCCATGTTAGTATAAATGTTATCATTGAAAATGAATAATTAATCTTTTTTTTTTTGAAGTTATAAAAACATTAAGAATTGAAATGAAATTTTCTCGCTTCAGTTTTACAGTATAGCAAGCAATAGTTACTTAAGGTTAACACAAAACTTAAAAAAAATACATTTTTATATTCTGTGTGAGTCTCAAGCCTCGAGCATTTTTCAACTAATGTCAAAGTTAAAAAAAAATTGTGTGACAAAATGTACAAATAAGCAGTTATTTTGTTTCAATTACGTAGATTATAAAGATTAACTATATTTTCCGTTATTTTCTTTCATTTTCTTTAGCAATAAATGCTTACCTATACAATATTAGTACTTAAAAATAAAAGCCCTAAGATCAATTTTAGGAAACATTTAAAAATTAAAATTTGTACTCTTGTGTTTTCAGTTTAAAAACAAATTTATTTATTCAAAATTTTGCAAAAAAATTGTGCATTTTTAATTACGCTTATCTTTTTTAAGACACATTGCAGGGAAATATTTTAACAATTATCCAGTTATTTGAATATAATATTTTACTAACTTTGTTTATTACTCAAATTTTAATTCGTAATGTATTTGTGCATTTCTCAAATTAGCTCTCTTTGTTTACGTGTGCAGGTGTGTACTAATGTGTTTTCGCGGCCTTTGGTAATAAATTACGGTCGGTAAATCACGGAGTGACAAGTACATCTGTGTTATCGAATGTGGCATAAATTGAAGCTTGTTTAGGTCCAGCCTCGATGTGTCTAGGTATGCTATATGTGGCCGCACGTTCGAGATACAACCCCATGAGATTAAAAGTGTTTGAAAAAGACTCGAGAAGCTTAATCGAATAAAATAGCAGGGCACAGATTGAGTCTTGCGTCGAGATTCCTTCGTGGGTGAAAATCAAAGTGACGGACGTAAATAATTTTCATTGTCAATTGCGTCATTGAAAAAATGTAATAAAAGGCTTGTAAAGGTTAGAAATCGATCGAACCATGTGAGAACCAAGCAGATGATCGTGAATTTATAATGTTGATATTGACAAAAATGTTCCGTTTAATTCTTCCTCCTTGCAATTTCTTTAGTAGTCGGGAGCTTTGTTGGGCGGAGGTTTTAGCTTTTAAATAAACATGCGATGTCTTTTTATCAGGCCCTAATAATAGCCGGGATTTTTTTTTTCACTTAAGCCGATTAACGAAAGAAGCAAGTCGGTATCAATTAAAAGTTAAAATAACATTTAAGATGTTTGGAAAAGGCGGCTCTAGTCAAACATCCCTTCCTGATAGAGTTTAGCAAGCAATTTGTCCCACACACGACAAGTCAATATTTTCCCTCTTTATGTGTGTATCGGAATCAATTTGAATGATTGACTCGATTCGGTCGTGTTCTACACTAATATTTGTACGAAAAACTCGAGCAAATCAGCTTTTTCATCATTAATTACACCAAGTAGTGATCAAATATTCACGATATTAAATCCTTAGAAAAGCTTCATAAAATTCAGAACTTTACAACCGTGATTAAAAATACCCAAAGCTCGATTGTAAATAAACAATCTCTCAAGTTAATTACTCGTATCAAAGCGAAAAATCACCGATCAAAAATTACCTCCAAAGCTCCTTTTCAGCTTAATTTACATCAAAGTGTCTTCAAAGTCGTGTGTTGTGGCGAGTCTCCAACTCGAGTGAATATTTTAAAAGCTTCGATTTGTTTCTCTCCATTGTTGTCCTTACTGCTGGAGGATGACGAGAATTCTTCAAAAGTTGCCGAATAAGATAGTTTTCAATGGATGCTTTAAATTCCGCCCATTTCCTTCGTTTCGCTTAAAAGTTATTAAAAGCTCCCCGCGTGAATTATTTATGGCTGTTTAGCATTGCTGCTCGCATAATTTTTACCAGCGAAAGATGACATTACAAGACCGAAATGATAATGAAGCGAGAACAAAGCCGACTCACAAAAGGATCATTTACGGCTTCAGGACGAAAACGCTCATTAGAGACAACAACTTCAGAATTGGCTGAAAAATATGCAAGCGGTGTTTAGAAAACTGCAATATTTTGCAACTAGCTACGTGAAAATTGTGTTATTACACATTTTTTTTAAACGACAAAGGAAATACTTTTTTATATTTTTGTTTCTTTTTTAAAATACAATACAAAATGTATATTTATAAAGTTAATTATTAATACAGGACAAAAAATTGTAGAAAACAAGACAATTTAAATTTTTATAGTCAGCAGTAAAATTAGTCTTTAGGTAAAAATCTAGTCGCACATAAATCAACTTTTGCAGGTTTAATGGCATTGAAAACTTTGGCCTAAACTATTAGCATTCCTTGCACAAGACGCGCCGCGTTAATTAAAAACTTTTAATTACACGTTTTGAATTAATAAACAACCTAAACACATCTCCCAAATTTTTAAACATTTTTTTATGTCGCGGCGAAGACTAATTAAAAAATTTCGTGCACCGAAACCTTTTTACAAGATTCAAACGAAAACATAAAAATACCTAGCGGAGTTTGTAATTTGCCGAAAGGGAAATCTCTAGGAAGTTTCTTTAGTAAAATCAGACTAATAAAATCTTATTTCGTCGCATCTGCAACATTTCCCTGGGTTTGTACTATAAATATTTAAAGTTTTCGTTTAAATTTAGTTTAGAATCCAATTTTTCATAACTAGGTTTGTGAAATGTGTTCCTGGTTAGTAATAAATTAGATCTGTGTAGACGGAAATTAGCGAAATTCCAGTGCAACTTCCGGGTAAACTATTCGAGTAATGGCGCCGGGAGGAGAAGCAGGTGCATCAGCATTCGTTTGTTCGTTTTTTCGCCAATTAGCGCTCGAGTTTTTGCGAGTTTTAATGGCGAGAATAGGGGAGGCGTCCGCGCGAATTGTAATCAAGTCTCTATATGACGTGTACAAATCCTTAATCTGCATTCATTTGCATGGAACGCTGGTCTTTAAGTTGAGATCCAGGCGCTCACCCACCATTCAATTTGCAATGTAGTGTATGTAAATCCCCGAATTAGTTTAATCAAGGCTGTGGAAGGGAGTAGAAATTATGATGTCTTTTGCAGCAGCAATAATGCGAGATGCAGTGGCGCCAATGTTGGGGGCTGTCCTTCTGACCTGTTACAGTTTGCATGCGGCTCTGGCCCTCTCCGACGAGACGCCGCTGAAATCAAGCAACGACAATCCACAGGTGAGGAGGCTTATAGTCTTACAATCTCCGAGAAATATGAAATGGCAAAGCTGACAACGTAGGCTTGGCCTAATAACGAGAGACACAGGATCAAGGAATTTCACTGACTTGTCTTTTGTCTTTTGGTACTTATTTCGGCGTAAAATGCGATGTCGAGTTCTTATCTAAAATTTTTTTTCTTATGTCCGACTCTTGAGAAATTTGCGATCAATGTATTGAAAAGAATATTGGAATAATAAGAAGTAAAGCTGACACAGGCAAAATAAAAACACAAAAATCCACCTTCATACATATCTGATGTATATTCAAGTAGGTTTTTTCCCTCAACGAAAACTTTCAAGAGACGGTGAGAGGATTTCACTGAGAGGGAATTTATGAATTTGAGGATGCTTCAGTGCCCAACAAATTTTTAATTCGATAAACGAAATAAGACGAATTTTAAACACTTGTGTATTTTATTTTAACTTTGAGGAAAGTGCCTAAATGAGATTGCATTTTTTTTTTTTTTATTAAAATGTGTTCACTATCAAACAGCGATGCGGGCATGAGAAACGGTGACGATTTCCAAAGTAGCAAACGTAACTAAGCCTTTTTGTTTTTTTAATGTATTAAATTTAATTAAGAAGGAATCTCTTTAAATAAACAACTTTTTATTTTTAATTTTTGGAGGAACGTTTTACTTAAAATTGACTTGACAGCTTTGAAAAAGTATGAGTGTAATCTTGTTTTTTCTTTCATTAAAAACTGAAAAAAAATTGTTTTCGTATTTATTAAAGACTATAAAAATTCTAGAAGTGAATAAAACGTTTCCTTATAATTAAAGAAAAAACAGTTTTAGGTGTATTATTCTAGCATCCAAATTGTCTTACTTAAATATAATTTTACATTTAATCGTATGTATTTGCGTTTAGCGTAATAAGGTTGGCTTATTCTTACTTAAAAAAAATACAATGTTACAACATCTACCTACTCGTATAACACATTTATCCGTCTCTTCTTTAAGTTCAGTAAATTCTCTAAATTCACAGAGAAATGATAAAAAATGTGTTTAATTGAAAACTAATAAGTTTTGTGATAAAGATTTAGCTGAATAACATTGTACTATTTTTCTTATGTTATTTTTAAAAGTCGTTAAAGATTTAAAAAGTGGTGGATGCGCCGGGTTAATAAATAATTTTAAACAAGTTAAATAATTATGACAACATTTTCAATGTTTTTAATATTTAACTGTTTTTGTAAGGTAACAATAAATACAAGCTTGATCAACTGTGTTTACAAAAAAATTGTATTTTGTCACTGAAAAAAATTTAATATTTTACAAAATTGATCTTTTTCGCAATTAAGTATTGGGTTTACAAAAATATTTTTTTATAAATATAGTGCTTAAAACAATATAACAGTACTAAATTACTCATGTTAAAACAGGAAATGAAATTGCAAATATAAAATCTGACACTGATGGACGTAAAGTTTTGAATAAAATTAATAATTAATTGCATAAAAATAAAAATTTTAATATGTTATTTTATGTTCTAAAAAAACATTTTTCTTATTTATAAATTTAAAAAAAATGTTGTATGCAACTGTTTAAAATCAAATTAGAATTTTTTTATAGATAAAATAATTTTTTTGAAATTTTGTTAAGTCGTTACATCAGCTTCATTAAACATTGAACATTAAGCAATATTTCTTGTCACAAATTAAATAGTGCTTGCTGTAAGAAATTGGGATTTTTAAAATGCATTACGTTAATTTTTGTTATTTTTCGGTTAAATATTTCTAGAATTAATTCAAATTTGAGTTCATTTACAAAACGCACAATCGTCATGTACCTAAATGAATTTGACATCCAATTCCGCAACAAATTATAAAATTTCCCTCAATTAAAACCATCCAAGCGTAAATAACATCCTTTGCAGATCGAGGACGAGATGTCGAAGCGAGACTGGAACAAGGACCTCCACATTTGGGGTAAGCGTGGCTGGAATAACCTCCACGAAGGCTGGGGTCGTAAACGTAGCGTTCCGGCTTGGGAAGAGCAGCAGGAGAAGCGCGCTTGGCAGAGTCTGCAGAGCGGCTGGGGCAAACGTTTTGCTCCCGAGGACGAATACGCCATCAGACAACTTGCTGCCATGCTGGATTCACAATACGACGATTATAATCCCGAGATCGAGACGAACGACGATGAAAAAAGAAATTGGGGCCAGTTTCATGGAGGTTGGGGCAAGAGGAGCAAATGGGATAATTTTAGGGGATCGTGGGGCAAACGCGAGCCGGCCTGGTCAAACCTTAAAGGCATCTGGGGAAAAAGAAGCGGCGAGAAATAAATGTCGTAGAATAGAAATATCTCAACATCCAAATATTTATTTATTTTAAGGATTTATTGTTGGGTGATACTTATAATCATTGTACTGTATTATAATGTTACTATTATTAAGAATTCAAATGCGTTGAGTATTTTTGGGAACATTTGTAATTATACCTAACTATTATGTAATGACACTGTAATTATTTATGTGAGGAAAATAAATCTGTATCTAAGCATTTGTACGCTTTTTTGGTCAACAAAACTTAACAACCTCTTACTATTATGAAACAAAACACAATTGAGTTAAAAAGCCTCCACCTTTTCCACTTATACAGCAACAAAGACGTGTATAATCTGCCCGAAGATTTTATTGATAAGGACATCTGACAGATCGTAGGTAAATCTAAATTCTCACTTGATCCCACGCATAAAGCCATAACTTTCAGCTTTTATTCGCATCTCTGGCTATCACTGAAAGATCAATTTTGCGACGTTTGTGTGTGATGAGTTTTTTTTTATTTTATTCGGTACTAGCGTTTCTCAAAGTTATCTATCTTTTGGTCATCATTTTACTGAAACGCAATGCAAAGAATGTTCAAATGGCTGACATCCAGGCGGAAGACATAAAGTTGAACCTCACTTGACTATTTTATGCAACCTCTGAGAAAATTTAACACAGAAATGTGTTCGCTGACCGACTATGGAATCCAGTAACTGAGACAAAATTTCGTCATAATTCATTAAATTTGTGTACAATTATACTTTAAACAAACAAAATTGGTAAAAAACAAAATTTTCTTGACGAAAAAGTGCCACAATATTATTTTTTTTTATCTCTTTAAGTTATAGCGTGCGATCAAAAAAAATAAATTCGAGTAGGCGGTGATTAAAGTCTTTCAGATGACAATCCTGATTTTTGACATCAAATGTCAGCGGAAACTTTGACAAGTTTGCGTTTGATTCCTTTTAAGTGAAATAATGTTCACTTTAGAACAGAAAATTTATATTGCTTTACAAGACGAAAACGGTGAATGGTCATTTTCACTTTCAGTTTGTGTGGAAAATTTCTAGCTCAGATTCCCAGCCAATGTGTTGCCAACTGCAGAATTTAATCGACGCCTACTCTAATATTTTTTTTTTGATCGCACGGTATTTAAAAGAAGTACTAATTAAATTTTTATATTTTTTATTAAAAGTGATTTTTTGAATAACAGGTAAATAATGATAATTTTCATCGACAATTTCCGGTATTAGATATCCGAGTATAGTCTAGATAATGATAGAATAGTGACAGAAAAGTAATTAGGTTGCCGACATCCTCCGCCCAGAAAGTGGTTTCTGGAGCCTCAAATGTTAATAATTTTAATGTTAGTCGATGTATCTTAACCTCCAATAATTGTAATGAAAGTGTTTAGAAAAGTTGCACACATCTTACCGCGTACTTGTGGAATGGTAACATCATTCAAAGCATTCTCCATGGCAAATTACTGCAATCTAAAATCTGTTTTTTTTAATGGAAATTACAAAGTCAAAATTTTGGTGAAAAAATTGGTAGCACCTTAACTCCATAGCCACAAATTTTGTTTGCTCTTTGTTTTTGTCCCTAAAAATTTTGTTAAAAAATTATGGTTATTGTTCCAATTGAGATGTTGTCAAAAGTTTAACTTTCATGAATCTTTATGGTCTTTGAAAGCGGTATAATTGAATACCTGAGGACAGACAACATTACCTAAGGTCTAAAGACAGAATTCAGTGCTAATAGTTTTGACAGAAACACACCGCAAGTAAGTACAATGTTGTGGACAAAAATGAGATTCTTGCTACAAAAACTTTGAAGAAAAAGGATGTATGAACAAAATCACGATTAGCCCGTCACACCAAACTTTTATTTAAAACACAACGCGTTTCAACCACAAAGTGGTCATCCTCAGGTGAGAATAAAACTCAAAAGGATGTATATACAGAAAAAAGTTATTTAGCAAAAGGTACAAGTAGGTATTATAATGATTGGCAATAAATTTTGTGTAATTTACTGAAATGAGCTCAAAGTTGATGCAATTTATAAATTCTTCTTTAGCTTTAGTTTCAAAATTATTACTTTTTCAACTCATTCCTCAAAAAACGATGCACAAGACACTAATTTAATTGCATTCTTTCCGAGGTTCTTTCTCATTCATGTTTATTTTGTATTCTTGTCGATTTCTTGCTAAAAATTAAGAATATTTAGCAAACCTGCATTACAAATTGCGTCTACATTTTAAGGAGCTCTTTTTCTAACTTCCTGCTTGCAAACTCTTCGTTTTCAAATTTCGAAAAACTGTTAGTGTACCGAAGTTGTTTCTTTTTTGGTGTTTCGTTTCTAAATTCTCTTAGACGATTTTTTGTGTTGACGTTTAATGACATTGTTTTCAAATTAATTCAAAAAACCGGAACTGCCAACTTCCTTTATTAAAATTACCATGAATGAATTTACTAGTGATGTCAACGTTAAGACTGTTTGGCATTTCCATTAAAAAAAAAAAAAACTTTACAAATTTGAGCATAGCAATCCTAGTACTTTTCTTGTTCTAGAGTTTATCACCAAGATGTCAAAAAAGTAAAATCTACTATTAGTTTACAAAAAAGTATAGATTGATTTCATTGGCAAGGATAAAGCTTTTAGACACCTGTTAGAGCCAGTATATTTACAGAGTAGCGCACTCTCAGCGGTGGCCGCCATGTTAACTCCTTCCCACGCATGTAATTTTTCTGTATGTCTTGTCAAGTTGTCATTACCTTCATTTAAATCAAATAATTTTTTTTATTTTATTCCTTGATCTGTGCTTTTTTAAACAGAACCTAAAGCTATTTGTTTAGAGTTACAAAAATATTCCTGTATACTATAGACGCGTAGAATAAAAATGGCCGCCACGGTAGCATTCACATTTGTCGCGGAAAAGAAGTGAGCTACTCTGCAAATATTCTGGCTCTGATACCTTTGCGCTAAAATCGCCATCTGCGAGAAATTTTCTTTACTAGAACTATTGTTTACTAGAGGTCGCTAAGTTAGAGCAAATAGATTGAGACGACTGCGACTGATAGATAACACCACTACTTTGAAGTAAAAATAGTAGTTCGTAATTTGAGACATCACTTCAAATCAAAATGTAAAATAATTAATTAAGATTAAAACAATTTTTTTCTTAATTAATTAAGACTATGAAAATGTTTTTCTCACTCAAAAAAATTGATTTGGATAAAAAATTTACATGAAGTTTTTTATAATAAAAAATAATGAAATTTTTAAATAGTATTTTATGTATTTAAAAGATTAGAGTAGATTCGCTGGCCGGAGGAACATAAGGTTCCTGCTTCCGAGGTACGAACCCTGATAAAGTCAGCAATTTTTTTCTAATTCTAATAAGCATAATAAGAGAGAGCATAACCGCATAAGAGCAAAGCATAAGAGCAAAAAAGAGCATGAAAGGTTTTTCACCGTAAAATTAATTTAACTTCTCTTTACACTTAACGTCACAGTTTTTTGTTACGTACGATAATTTTCCTGTTTTCTGCACAAATGCCTTAAATTATATTTAAAAAAAATTGTTGCTAAATTATTGCAAAATTATCACCAAACACGTTTTAGAATATATTTTTTTGTATACGCTTCCGAAAACAGCTGTTTTAGGAACTCATTTGAGTCCCTAAAATGAGTCTTTTCCGGACTCAATAAAATAGTACGCAAAACGGTTAGTTTAGGTACTCAGTCTCTAAAAACAGTTTTTGCGGATTAAAAAATAAAATTGGTTACTATGATAACGAAATTTTTTTAATTAGTAAGAGGTGTGAATTCGGGAGCTTTATTAAAAAAATCTTATATGCACCACGTACGCAAAAGGTTTTAGGTGACTCCTCTTATTTAAGACTCGGCTCCTACGTCGCCTCATCATTAATTACGATTCGTCCCCTAAAAAAAAAATAGTTTACTATAGTCCTTGTAATTTTGCATAGTTGAATCATTACATTAAAAATTATTTTGTTGGAACTGATAAAACACTTAACTGAAAACAATAACAATTTTTTTGTACGTTTGAGAACGGCTCAAACTTCAACTTCAAACTTGGACTGAGTACCTACTCGTAGGAGAATTGAGTAGGTATGTACTTGATATTTTATTTATAAACTTGACTTTCTTTGACTGTAATCTGCAGGAAGCAATTAGGATATTATTGAAGGGCTCAATCTGTGTTATTTGAACCTTAACGTACATTTTTGATGCATTAAAACGATTTATTACATAAAGTATTTTCATTCATTTGTGACAAATTAGACATGGTTTCCAAAGTTTCCCAATTCCAAAAACAACTGTTAGTTGTGTTGTCGGGGATTCCTGAACAAGTCGGGGATTCCTGGACAAGGACAAAGTCCATGGTCATCGGGGCGAGACGTGGGACGTTCCAGGCGAAGTACCGGGGAGAGGGACAGTCGCTTGGAAGTACGGGAAGAGAGTGGAACCTCGAAATAAAAAGTCCTCTGTCCGTGTATTCAATAAACAGTTTATTTGAATATTTTACGCGTTTTGTTATTTTCTTAAAACTTATTTTTCACACTTGTTTACCAATTTATTTAATTGAAAAATTGTTTGCCAATACAACAAAGTTGTAATTGATCTTTCACTAATTTCTAATTGTGCGGTGCCCTTATAAGGATCAACAATACTCACAGGTACCACGTCTTCATTTCTAGAAAAATTTCGCAATATTGGTTTATTGTTTCAAAATAGATGTAACCTTACCTGTTTAAAATTATCAGAGCAGTAGCATTTACAACACTTATAGGAACGATTTGTTTAAATACCAATGTATTGCGACTCCGTCTACGTAATTCCGAGTGGTTTTGTCTCGAAGAGCCTTTATAAATTGTAGAATTATTTGTGAAATGTTAAGTTTTTAAAACATACCAAGTCTAGAAACCATGGAAGGTATAAAATTTGGTCATCCGAAATCATTATTTTGATATTTGAATGTGTTGAATTTCTGATTGTTGGTCCTAAATTGTTAAGAATCCACTTACCCTACAACACGACTAAAATCAATACCTACTTAATTGCTCTTTACCATTTACCATCCTTAAGGCATCCCAACCAACGTTATTGACTGGATTCAATGGCAATGGAAATAAATTAGGTTCATTTCCTGTTGTTATACCCCAAAATTCTACCCCTTGTTCTTGGTAACTATCCAAAAATTTCACAAAGTAATTAGCCCAAGTTTGAAATATTTCTTTTTTAAGTAATCCAAAACCAGCATATTCCCCATTGGTTTTCATCCATTTTGATGCAGTCCAAGCAGAAGCAAACAGTTTTAAATTATTTTCAGTTAGATTTAATGCTTTTTTAATATATGGAATCTATAAAAGTGTTGCCTTATTTTTGGAACAGTAGTACCCTAGAATTAAATACTTTATAATGATAATCTTCTTCAGCTAATTTAAAGTTTGTCAAGTTTTTATCTTCTTCACCGTCGTCGTACGAGTAACCGCGGACCGAAAAGTCGGTGCCACCAATCGGTACTCTACACAAACTATACTCAATACCGTTTTTAGAAAAATATGATTCTAGAAGCTTGAACATTTTCTTCTAAGGAAGCGATATTTATCACAGTGGAATCAGTAAAAGCACCACCCCAACCCATAATTGTTTGGTACTTTTTTTCGGGATAGATTATAATTTGATTATCCAGAAAATATGACGGTTCAAATTTTTTCTTTTCTACAGCTTTATTGGAAGTGTAGACCAGAAGCTCAGGTGGTTCTACTTCCTGTGGTTTTGGAATTGTATCGCAGTGGGTCGCGTTACATACACATACAGTACCATCATGACCGTAATCTCTACTTAAACATTCTTGTGCTTCGGAAGATGCTAGTGAAAAATGGTTATTTATTTGCAACGTTATGTGTATTTTATTTTACCTTTTAGGAAAAGTAGGAGGAGAAAAATTCTTGTAGACATCATGTGCAAAATCAACGTTCATTTGAAAACAAAGACAACTAAGAAAGCATTTGATAATGATAAAGTATGATTTTGGCAGTTGTAACTTGTTTGTTTGGTACTTATCGTGTAAATATAGGAATTTTTTTTTGCAGGTGTATTTTTTAATCTTTTTCTTATTTATGATGTGAGTACAAAGAACATAAAAGTCTGTGGAATTTTTCTTTTCTAATTCAGAGTTATCACTAACCATGTGATATGTATGTGATACTTCGGGTAAAAACTACTTTCTTGCTTTTAGTGGATTCCGAAAATTACAAACTTCAAATTAAACTAAATGCATTTTTAATTGTTTTTATTTTTTTTTTTTTAGTAAATTACGGCTAGACTATACTGGTGCGCCAGAACTCGAAGTTGTGAGATTTTAAATTTTGCACTTTGCCTCTATTTATTTCTGTTGGAAAAATTATTTTCCAAGTTTTTTTGCTACAGGCTATTAGAAGAGGAACAAAAAAGCTGTATCCTAAATTGTAACTCTGATAATGTTATTTGTGGCTTTTATTTTCAAAATTTTTGTACCTTTAATTATAAAAAAAAACATATACAAGATCATCAGTATCATTAAATAGACATAAAAAATGTCAAATGTCAAAAAATAAATGTCAAATTTTTTTTGGCATGTAGAGGCATTTTTGGCATTTTTTCCATGTTTCTGGTATCTTATCTTACTTGAAATTTTTCTCTGGGGCGCCGAGTTCTGGCACACCCTGTATTTATGTCACACTCACAGTATCAATTAAATGAGACTTGGAACTAAGCAGTTGTTTTATAATAAATGTCATTACATTATTAATTAATTTATCATTGAATAGACATAAAAAAATGTCAAATTGTCTAGATTTTTTAAACAATTTTTTTATGTTCCTCGTATCTTATCTTACTTAAAATTTTTATTTGGGGCTCAAATTCTGACACACCTTATAGGTATATCTAAAATGATAATGTTTTAACCGCACGTATGTAAAATGTTCCGGGAAGTCAATTAGCGTCGAGAAAACTGCAAAATTTGCAATAGTTTTTTAATTTTATTTTTTTAATTATTTTAATTTATAAGTATTTTTTTAACTATTAACATAGGACAATAATCTTTTTGTACATAATAAAAAATAAATACAGGGTGTTTCACATAATTTTACGAGGCCTGCGCCTGTAAGATGTAATCAATAATAATAATATAATAATACATATTCCGATACGAACTCACAAATGACAAATTTTGAAAAATTGGATAATCTTCTCTAGTTTGTTCACCCTTTCAAAAATTACAACTTTTTTAGTTAGTTAGTGATCAAGGTAGATAAACTATAAACATATTCATACCGTCTCTTGATAGAACAAATAATAATTGTTTTCGAAAAATTGCAGTTTATGACTATTAATGAAACAGTGATTAGTTTGACAGCTACTGTAATGGGTTTCCAAAAATTAAATAATTAAATGTGTATTTCTTGTATCCAGTGTTTTGTGACTTTTGTATATTGGGTGCGTACATTAGGCGCAAGCCTCGTAAAGTTGTGTGAAACACCCTGTATACTTTTTAACGGTGCCAAACATAAAGGACTAGCCAATAATTTCAGAGTAACTAAACTGGACCGCTTAGGGTACCAAAAATCGACCAAAATCGTGTCAAAAATCGAAAAATTGAACACTTCAAAATTTATCGAAATGCCCTTCTAGGTTGTCGAGTTGTCGAAAAGTACATAAAACATCGTAGCAACACAAAAATTTTAAATTTTTAAAATTTCTGTATGCATATATTAGGCTAGAGCTGAATTACATGCCGGGACGGTGGAGACATAAGGTCACTACTTCCGGTAGGTTCCGGGGTTCGAGCCTCGCTAAAGTCGGCAATTTTTCTCTAATTCAAATTCAAATACTGATTCAAATGCGACCCCTGAAATATTTAAATTTGAAGTTTTAAAGATAATTTTTCATTCTTATAAACATATCACGTGAATCTTTAAACTTTACAGCTTAACTAACCTGAAGATTTAGAATTTGGATAATAGTTATACTTTTATAGTTATAGTTTATAATCATGGATGTCAAAAACATGATGAAAAAATTTCTTTTTTTTAATTTCTAATAGTCATCTTCTCGAGAATATTAGATTCGTGTGTTTTGCTATTTTAGTTTTATTAAGACAATCACTTTATTAATTCAAATTTGGCGCTATCTGTAGAGTGTAAATGGTTGACCATTGCACTACTCTTAATTTTTTGTTACGATTTACAACACTTAGTTTGAAATAGTGAAAGAGGTATGTATAAAGTGTGTGAGAAAGTTTTGGGGATAAGAAAAATCGTTTAAAAAACAATTTCTTTATTTCAAAAACATTTATAATACTTAGATGATTCCATTAAATGAAAATATAAATTTAGCGATGGACAAATAAAGCAACTGTACAAATAAATATTTGAATAAAAATCGAGTGTATAATGAACAGCATCGGTTTTAACACAATAATATCCCAGCGAATGACAGTCTGACAACATATATCGACATTAAATTAGTACATTTTGTGTTGAAATATATCCAATAATAACAACAGCACACAAAATATACTACACTGGCAGGCGGAGTAAAAATATATATTTTTATATTCCTTGTTTGGTAACAAAATTCAGTTTTTGGTGAAATGTGGTGAGAAGACTGCAAGGTACATAGCGGATAAGGTTTCTTGCTTTACTATCATGAACATAGATCAGTCACAATGATATCTTATAATTATTAAGTAAAGCAACACAACATACATATCAAGGATTTTTTCATTTTTCTTTGCCTATCTAAGATAAATTCGTTCATTTAATTTTAAAATTATTAAAAAGGTAATAACTGGACTATATTTACAATTTTCTGATACCTCTGTCTAATGGCTCATCGTTCGAATCTCGGGCTATTAAAGCTCTAATTGTATTATAATACCGTTTTTTGTATCTATGCTGTTCCGTTTCACGTATTTTTTCTCATTTAAAATATCTATTAGTTGCAAGTATTTACATAATCGATGCGACTCGACCGCAAGTCAGTCAATATTTCAAAAAGTAGGTAAAAAAAATCGGCTGATCGACACGCACCGATGCTTAAATCACATACATATAGGTAACATATCGTAAATAAATAATATACATTTTGGCATCTTTGAAGTACATACACAAATAGACTTTGGTATTGGTATAAAATGTCTCACATTATTCATGTAAGCTTGGTACATCACACTTAGTTAATTGAATATTGTTTCACTTAGTCACTAGCATAAATCGCTCCACGAAAACCACCAACGCTCTTGACATTTCATTTCCCTTTTCCTTCTTCGTTTCTTTGATTCGTTTTGTTTTTTCGTAAATTTCACATTGTAAGGGTCTTCGGCCAGTTCGGGGTACAATAAAATGTCATGGATGTAATCCCCTTCATAATTTGAGACGTATCCCAACTTCAACAATTCTTCAACTTCACCAGATGTCCATTCAACGGTACCAGAAAATCCGCTTTTCAAAGCTTCCTTTTCTTTATGCCACGCTTTACGTATCGCTGACAATTTCGCATGGTGCAGTAATCGTTGCTTTTCCTTCTCTACAGTCGTACCGTACCTCAAATTCACCACAGCATTGGCTCCATGTATCTTCACATCGAAATAGTTATTTCCGCTTCCATTTTCTTTGGCAATTTCATGGAATGTTGTATTGACCTGCCCTTGCAACCGCTTCAATTGCCCTTTATCATCATTAGCCTTCCATGTTTCTTCTTTAACAAAATAGAACGCGTCTTGTTGGGCACTATGTACCACAAAGGTAAATGGAAGCAAATACGACCGGTTAAAGACTGAAGTGTACACATCTCGGTAGATGGCGTTAGCCGCCGGTACACTCGAAACTATCGCTTGGTCTTGACTGGATTTGGAGACTAGGATGCCTCGCCCGAAAGGAGGATCAGAGGCGGCGCCGATTTTCTTCGGTACAAGATCCATAACATCGGTTTTCAGTGCCGACTTCGAGGGGGCCGAGAGATCTTTTGCAGTGGTCATTTTGCGGGTGTTGAGATGTGCGAGGAAGCCTGATTGGATGTCGGTGGATGACGCGTGCATCGTTAATTGGCTGCTGAGGGTCTCTTTGGACGGATTCCAGAAGGTAGCCGGATGGGTGAGAAGCGGCGGCATGCGACCGCCGGGAAGAGCGTCAGGGAAGAGTTGGGGGGCGAGGTTTTGCAAATTGTATCCAAGTTTCTCCAACCAGTCCAAATGATCTAGTACAAAATCAAACAATACTTAATTTCAAGTGTGAAATTAGTATATTAAAGATCGCGTTTCGTACGGCAAGTTTTGTGGAACGAGTTCAGGTTAATGAAACGAGCAGCAAAGCACAAGCTTTATAAAAAAACGAGTTTCCACAAATGACTTACGAAACGAGTTTTTTTATGCTAGGTATAAAAGCCAATTTTTCAAAATTTAGGAACTTTGAGGTTGGTAATAAATATTACAAAGTTTGAAAGTTCGATTTTCGAAGTGTCGAGTCTCAAGTATTTCTCAAAATTTTGTTGAATTAAAAGTGAATACTGCAAATATTTTATACACACCACCTGAAAAAAAGAGAAATCGCTCAAAACGGCGCTGAAAATCACCATAACCAACCTCTAGAAAGTAAATTGTAGTAGTCTCTTTCAGCACCTAAATTGGTGTTGAAATGGCTTATTAAAGCATCTGTTTTGGTATAGAAATTAGCTTTCTTTCAGACGCAAAATAGAAAAAAAAAATTACCTGTTGGTTTGTCCCGCTTCACACCCATGTTAATGGGGTCATTTCCGTTAAACCGGTACAGGTGCAACTGTGTTGGCGTAGCAACCCTTTCGAGAACATCTTCCCACAGCGGCGACATCCACTGTCCAATCAGCGGGTCGTAGACCTTCCCATTTGGCATGTGCACCAATGAGGTCACCTGTAATTGCACCGTAAGTTCATTTCATTTCAATTCCTCTGATTCGTGTCACCTGGTCCAATAAGCCGCCACAAAAGTCCACGGGTAAATACAAATACGGGTTGGAATCGTACACAATGTGTCCATAAGGTGACCGCATTATCTCCCTTATCCCTTCCCCATACTGGTTGAAAATCATGACAGGGGTACCACACTGATCCGTGGCGACGTAGTACTTATGTCTGTAAACTTGGGCGTAAATCAGGTGTCCCCTGTCATCATAAACCAGTGACATGAGTTTTCCGTCTCGGGGAGAGTAGATTTGGCTGACTTCGCGAGGGCGGTATTCGTTATTGTAGAAGAATTGGGTGACGTTGCCGTAATTGTCCTTACGAGCTGACAATCTGCACAAATAACACAAAAATTTATTAAAAAAATGTCACGTTGCAAGAAAAAGTTGAAATTTTATTTTCTAAAGTAGTAAATAATTAGGAAATTGGTAAACCTGTCAAGATGATCGTAGAAGTATCGCACATCAAAGCGCCCCCTCTTGGTTGCCCTAACCAGTAGCCCTTTTGCATTATAATGAAACTTCTCCTCCCTTGCATTCTGTACAACCAATCCTCGACTGTCGTACTTGTATTGTCCTTCCCCAAATTTGATAATTCTATCCATCGGGTTATACTCCATAGGAATAGTATTACCCCTAAAACACCCATTTATTAATCCCCCAACACCAACATTCACAACTTACCTGTAAGTCAGCGACAACATGTTCCCATTATCGTCATATCTGAACCCCCAAGGCTCCTGCGCTTCCACTCCTAAAAGTTGTCCGTCGCAGTCCCAAGTATAGTTCTTTATGTTTGTATAGGGATTAACTCCCACATTCCTCGTGTAAGTCCTCGTCTGGGAAATCCTCCCGTGCATGTCATGATTAAACTCCATCCTGAACACTTCCATGCCATGTATAGTCAAAGCCACTTGCGTTTCAAGAAACCGTGAATTGACACTTCGTGAAAACAAGGCCGTGCCGTCATAAACTTGCGTTTCGTTACTTTTCGGTTTATTTATTTTGAAAGCTCCGATCATGTCCAGAGCCCCGGTTTTGGGGTTGTGCGCTAGACTGTATTGGGGGAGGTTTTGTCCTCCGATTCGGCCCTGTGCTCCGATAAGTCGGTAATTATTGTCATAGTCGTAGGTAAATTTCGCGTTACTGAGACCGGTTTTGGCACCAAAATCGATTCTTTCTTCCATTAAAAGCCCTCCGATGTATTGATAGTCCCAGCGATATTCCAAATCGGGCTCGACGTGTGATATTTGACTTGGTAAACCTGAGGTTTCTGAGTAGTGGTACAAAGTTTTACCATCACCATGGACGACTTCACTTAATCGTCCATTGGTGTTGTACCGGTAGACTACTCGTGCTCCTTCACCGGGGAAAACAGTTTGGAGGAGCTGCCCGGAGTGAGAGAAGTGTTGTAAGTAAGCGCGGAGGCTTCCTGGAGGTGTGTATGTGACACGGAAGAAGCCCAAAGAGGGTTGCAAACTGAAAGAGTGTCTGGTCCCGCTTGGCAATATTACGTGACGTAACCCACCATCATCGTCATAAGACAAGGAGAAACTCCTCTGACTCGCAAGAGTGATTTTTGATAACATGTTCCAGTCGTTGTAGGTGAAGATTTGTGTTCCGTCTAGTGTGCTTGTTATCTCTGATAAAAGCCCATGTCTGTCGTAACTATACTTCAACTCGCTGTTCCCCCACTTCCAAGCATCGATTCTATTGAACGTATCGTATGATATGTTGAGGGTATCAGCCCCGTTGTGGGGAATATAAGCTAAAGGTAACCCAGCCGGGTCGTAGGTTATTGTCAATAGTGGCAGTTTATCATGGTCGTAGAACACCTCCCGACTCGTGAATTGGTCAAACTCAATTCCTAGAATTTTCGTCCCATTGACGTAAATCTCTCGGTTTAGGGTTTGTTGTGGGTTCCGAACGTCACCAACTAGACTGAATTTTGTCGACATGAAGTTTCGAATGCCTTCACCGAAAATCGTGCTTTGTTCCGACCAAACTGGCAACATTTCGGCTTCGACAGGAAGTGAGGCTTCTAACAAAGGATGTCTTGCTACAGCAGTGATCTCCATTCGGCCTCCCCAGGCTGAAAGTACCGAAACTGTAGAGTTAGTCAACGTTACAGCTTCGGTCACTTCGGAATTGTCAATCATTATGACCTTCTTATTAGCTTTTCCTGTGACGGTAAGCTGAGTTGGGGGTTTGGAAATTGTGATTTTCAAACCCTCGTTTTCCGCAATTTTTGACGTGAGTTCGAGGGTTTCACCACTTGATAGGATAACACCAGTAGCTCGTCCAATCCAATCGTATTGATAGACAAAGGTTTCGCCACCACCAGACCGACTTGTTAAAAGCCCGGAGTTCATATCGTAGTCTAATTCAATCTCAGAACGGCCTTTCTCCGACAACTTCACCAAATAACCAACACCGGAAATTTTGAGTTCGGATTTGTGGTCTTGAGTGTTTTCAATTGAACTCACGGCGTTACTGTAATCTCGCAAAAACTGTATTTTATTGCCAGAACTATCGGTGACTGTCGACAATTTCCCAAAACTCGTATTTTTGGAATATAGGAACGAGTATCGTGTTTTATCACTTGCTAAATCTTTGGTCGCCACATGTTGGCCATACCGATTAAAAACATAAATCTCTCCTGCCGCCGGGTACGGAATCCTAAACTCCCCATTTTCATCATGCGTTGGTAGATAATGCTGCAAGGCTAGAATATGTAACGACCCTTGATCGGCCACATGGAGCACCCCTCCCGGCGACACCGTCAACGCCGAAATGGCTTGAAATCGGGCATTCGATGACAAAAGCGTCTCCGCATTGCTCGTCGTCTCATCAGTATTTCCACAAATACATGCCGGGGGTGGGTCATTCCCTCGCGGACTCACCGTAGTGGCGTTGACGGCGCAATCGCAATTGTTTCGAATCCGGTCTTGGATTTTCCCAGCGAAATGTGTGATTTTCCCCGAGGAGTCGATCAGTCGGATATAATTGACTTTGCGCGTATCGGATTCAGCGATGTAGAAATCGCCGTTGGGTGAAAATGCGAGCGCGAGAACCGTGCCGAGGACGTCGTCGGTTTGAGGTTTGGTGGTATTGTCTTCGCGGTGGCAATGGAGAGGCGTGCCGGCTACGACTTTAATTTTCATGTCGGCAGTGAGTTTAAGCACGAGCCGGTCGTCGACGAAGTGGAGGGAACCGTCGAGGGGGCTGAGGGCTAGCCCCGTTGGCCACTGCAGTTGCGCCTGGAAATTGAACTTTAATTTAAAATTCTTTCTTTAATTTTTTTAAAACTGAATTATACAGGGTGATTCATCTCCGGTCTCCGGTCTCCGGTCTTCTGTAGTTCAGTTATTATTTAAGTGGGAATTTTGATATTTTGTAGATTTTATTTATATTCTAGAGCGCATTTTAAGAAAATATTTTTGATTATACAGGGTGGCCCAAAATTCAGTTACAATACAAACTTAAGTTTTTTTTTAATGAAACACTATACGTTTCTTGGCATTCTTAAATGTAGCTTTTAATTTCATTGTTTTTAAGCTAAACTTCTATTAGTCGATTTTGCTTAGTTTTTGAATTAAGTTGAGTTTTTTGGCAAAAGCATCCTCTTTTTAAAAATCTATTACAAAAAAAGTTAAGACAGCTGGAAAAAATTACCACTGTAAAGAAGAAAGTACGAACTTTAAGACTATAACATTTTTAAATGTATTGAAGTCGAAAAGTTAAAAAAAAAATTGTTAAAAGTTAAATAACTTGAAAAATTTCAATTGAACACCCTATTTTTTGTTTTTGCATCTTTCCAAAAACATTTACTTTTAAGAGTCTACAATTAATAACTAAAAAGATATTTAACTATAAACATAAAAAAATAATTATTATTTCAATAGCCAAAAAGTGCACATTTGCACTAGAGATGGAAGAAATATCACTCAATAATCATTTTTACGTTACACTGAATCCATTATTCCCCTGTATAATCAATGAAACAATTCGAATTTTTTATTTATGTCGGCTTTTATAATTACTGGACGAATCCCAAATAAGTGATCAGTGGTGGAATTACTATGGTTGCTTTGGGATCAACAATGCTCATTTTAATGATAGGCATTGTTGCTATAATTAACATTTAAAATTAAATATCTTTTAATTTATTAATTCGAGATATAAAAAGTTGATTTTTTTAGATAGACAATTTATCAGTCTATAAAATGGAACAATAAAAAATAGGGTATTCCATTTAAATTTTTTAAGTTATTTAACTTTTAACAGACTTCGACATTTTTTTAACTTTTCGACTTCAATACATTAAAAAAATGTTATATAGTCTTAAAGTCCGTAGTTTTATTTTTACAGTGGTAATTTTTTTTTCAGCTGTCTTAACTTTTTGTGTAATAAATTTTTAAAAAGAGGATGTTTTCGCCAAGAAAATCAACTCAATTCAAAAACTAAGCAAAATCGACTAATAGATAAGTTTAGCTTAAAAACAATGAAATTAAAAACTACATTCAAAAATGCCAATAAACATATGGTATTTCATTTTAAAAAACGTAAGTTTGTATTGTAACTTATTTTGGGCCACCCTGTATAATCAAAAATATTTTCCTAAAATGCGCTCTAGAATATAAATAAAGTCTACAAAATATCAAAATTCCCACTTAATAACTGAGCTGAGAAGACCGGAGCTGAGATGAATCACCCTGTATTTGTAAAAAAATCCAAACCAAAAAACATTGTTTTTCCGACACCGACCTGACTGGCGGCTAGGGCCCCATGGCAGGGAATGGGGCTCCAGTGATTATGGTGGCCGTGATTGCCGATAAGCGTGTGGATAATCCCTTTAGGATCCACAGCTCTTATGTTTGTCCCATCGGCGATATACATGGTTTTGTCGGCGGCAATTGCCAGTCCTTTGGGGTGGGCAAGTCTTGCGTATTTGGCCGGTGCTTCATCCCCACACTGGCTATCGTCCCCTGGTATACACCTCTCTCCGTTGCCGACCACCTAAAACAAAGTTGTTACACATTATTGTCAAGAGGAAAGCGTCAAAACTTACAGGTTCGCTGTTAATACTCGGGTCTTGAACCGGCTCCAGAGACAATACTTTCAGAATTTGATGTTTTTCTGGATCGGAGACATACAAGTGGCCATCAGCCGGTGATATGGTCAGGTAGTATTGATAAGCGACTTGTGTGGCCCTGTAAAAGCGAAAAAGCGAGATAAGTGCTGGAATTTTGAGAGTTTTGATTGATATTGACCTTAGTTGGAGCACAGTGTAGACATTTCCTTCGGGAGTAATTCTTCTGACTAGATTGAAATCACCGACGTAGATACTCCCATCGGGACCACTAGCTAGCGATCCTGGTGTTAACAATTTAGCGTCTTTGGCCGGTCCTCCGCATTGACCCGGACAATCAAGCGACCTCTGGAGGCCAGTCCCCATGACAACATTTACTGTCCTCGGATACTGCTTGAAATGTAAGGTCGAGCCATCCCCCTTTTGCAAAATTCCCTCATGGAAGTTATAATGGTGGTGGATATCCAATCCCCAACCTCCGATATCCGAAATATCGACATCAAAGCCCTTCAAATCGGCCGTTTGGGTCTCCCAGATTGGTTCAGGGCAACTCGAGTGCTGATACCCGATCGAAACCTTGGCTTGTGCAATCCCATACACTTTCTGCTTATAAACATTGCGTTTATTCCAGGCAAAAATATGCAACAAGTCCGGATCTGCTTCGTAAGTTTTAACATGTAAGGAACCCTCTACCTCAACTCTGACATGTACATGGGTCAACGTCTTCGGGATTGACCTCCCGGTTAATCTCATGTAAATAGTACTCAGATAACCGGTGGCTTGAGAACTTTGATACATCAAATGCAAGTCCGACCCTGGAATGGGAATAGACTCTTGCACAATTTGCGTTTCAGCAAAAATAACGCTCCGGCCAGGCAATCCTCCCACCGCTTCTGGCATCCAAGTTCCGGTTATAACCGGTTTTAGTACCTCCGGGTCGTGGTCCTCACATGAAGCCGGTAGAACTCCATTGGGAGTAAACAACGAGCGAGAAACCCCCGGAAAGTTTATAGCAGGGTTGCGACTTAGAAAACTGTTCTGGAGGGTGGAAGTATCTGAATCCTCGTTGAGTTGCATATGGACGGGGGGTAGAACCACAATTTGGTTCCATGGTACGAAAACCGTGCGTGTTAGTGGTTTAAATGGTGAACGTTGGAATTGGAGAGTGACTGCGCCGCCGCCGTTCACCAACACGTCAAACCTGAGAGAATTGGAGGATTAAAAATGCAAGACGTGGAGGGACAATTAAATTATTAAAGAAATTAGATTTGGGAGAAGGTAAAGCGGGAAAGACAACGGCTAATTAACGACACTAGTGGAGACCCAATTTCTATTCTAAGACGTTATTTTATTACGTGGGTAATTGCTCGAGAAGGTTCTATGAATTTTAAGCCGGGCCAAAGGCGATAAGAATGGGAATTGGGAGAGGACGTGGTTAAAAGGATTTAGCATTAAAGTGATTTTTTTACTATTTTTGTTGATACAAAAAAGCTTGCATAGTAATTGTTCTTTATAAAAACGTATACTTTCCTGTGTTTATATTTTTTTATTAAAAAAACATGATGGAGAAAAGTGGAAAGAGAAGTTAAAAAACTGGAAACACTTCAATGTATATTTTTATTGAAAAAAGGTGCTTTAACACAGTCCTGGCATAAGTGTGAGACTGAATTGCCTCCACTCGTATTTTATTTAAAATTTTTTCCAGTTTGTTATTTTCCAACTTTTTGAGTAAATCATCGAATTAGCGTAGCATTTGTCGGCACGACCTTTTCCATCTCTGTGGAATTCCCATAAAGGAGTATCCTTTAATAATGCATCAAAGCATTTTAAATTTTATTACGGCCCTGAAAAACTCGAGTCCGTCGAGGTGCTTTAGATAAATAAACAAACACTCGCTACGTTTCGGCACAAACAGTAGAATGCGCCACATCAAAGTAATGGATTTGAGTGTAATTTTCCGACGCATAACAACTTGTGACAAACTAATCCAAAGAACGCTTTGTACACTTTATTAATTAATCATCAAGCATTGCTTCCTTTAACATGAAATGCTATTTTAATTACTAGAATGAGAGGCAATTTAGAATACGCGTGATCGGTCTCTGTACATAATTAATTCAACGGAAAGGAAAAATGCATGGATTTGTCCTTCCGACGGATAAATCCGCGAATTAATGGAGAGAGAGAGACTTTAAATATGTATGATATTCACGAAAGTCTATTAGAAATGCTAACAATAACTTGCAGAACGTCCCCTTAAGCCGACATGATTTACTTCCGACGTGCTCGGCAGCGAGCTGCACTTGCCTTCTTTCCGAGCTAAACAAAATGTTATTTATTGCCCTGTAGTCAGATTACGGCTCGTCACTTTTCTTTTAGATACTTATTATTACTGGAGCTGGGTCGTAAAACGACTTCAAATTGTTGAGTTACTGAGTTTTGCGTTGCCTTATTTCTCAAAAAGATTTCAAGCTTGTTCAATTAAAGAAGAATGAAAATTAATGCAAATGCATATGCACATCTTCGATCTTTGCAATAGAACGAAAACATATCTGAATACACTAAGAGCACAATTATTATCATAAACAAAAATAAAAATGTTTTGTTTTCTTACTACTAGCGAAATCTTTTGTGTTTTATCTACAACTTAACTTAATGAATTAATTTTTAGAAAGAAGTAAAGAAAATAAACATTACATCAACATTAGCATAATTTTAGTGTTCTTGCATAAACAATTATTGACAATTCAATGCTTTAAAATAAAAAAAATTAAATATAAAAAAACATAGTTTATAAATAGACCTAGACTGTTTAGGGACTATGGATGCCGTGATGACACACAAATAATGTGATTTTTAAAACCTTTTAGGCGTAATCAGAAAAAAATACTATTTTTTTTTTTCTATTTCGGTGTTAGAATAAGTCTATTCCAGTACCCAAATGACGTCATTGGAATGCTGGAATAAGTCGTTCGCCGTAATTTAATTTTAGTGACGGACTTTCTTCACAATTCATTTTGTGAAAATGTGAATTATTTTTATTTTGTACAGCCGCCTAAAATTATTCCACATACCTAAATGTCGCCAACCGTCGCAAAATTCTCTAGAAAAAAAATTAAATTTTCGTTTTTTAATTTATAAAATGATATAAGGCGGCAAAATAGAAAAAATAGTATAAAGCACTTGTTGCAGAAGGTTCTTCAAGCACTCATTTGTTCCTCAACTCGCCGCCACGCGGCTCGATTCGGAATTTCAAATTTGTGCTTGAATAGATACCTTCTGCAACTTGTACTTTAATATACTATATCTTCTGAAATGTGTTTTTCCGGTTTAAGAATCTTCTTGAAATTATTCTAATAAATAATAAAAATATAATTTTTATAAACAAATACAAAATTGTTGGAAATAACTATAGAAAATTTACTGCTTGGTTATTTATTTAAAAGTTGTAGCTAAAGTCTATCTCACGATCATCTGTACTGACTTCGTCAAGTCCAAACCTTGTTAACAGTTTTCTCGTCACTTGAGTTAGACAACATTAACAACTAGAGAATTAATTATTAAATTCATAGTTTTTTAAGAGTTTACAAAGTGATTAAGAACGAGTGAATCTGACTTTAATTTTTAAAGGAAACCACTGGAGTATGGTTTTGATAAGCAACAATTTAACGATCTTGAGGGGTTGTACGTCAAGTATTTGTCAAGCAAAACAGTATCCGGTTGCAGTGTTACAAATTATTAACAACAATACTTTCAAATCTCTTGCCAACTTAAACAGTTCTAAATGATCACGCTTTTGTATGAGAAATAATAAATGTAAAAAATATGTCTATAGTGATTACACTTAGTAAGCTTTTATGGTATATCTGAAATTGAAATTAGTGGATGCGCTGGGTTGGCAGGTAAACACGTTATTAAAGCTAATTCATAAAAGCAGAAATAAAAGTTAAATCCTTGTAGTTAAAATAAATTTTGTTCGTTCGTTTATCAATTTTAACACATATCTAAAAAACATTTTGGCTGGGTTTAGGTTAAAATGAGAAAAAATTACTAATGTAACAGTTCTTATAAAAAAAACAAGTTTAATCTTGTATACCCACAAAATTGTGTTTTCGTCAAAAGATGTCTGAAAATAATAAAAAATAGATAAATTATTGCATGGGTCATCTCCACTTTTATTTTTCTTTATTTTATTATTAATTAACATTGCCGTAAAGGAAGGATAAGTATGGAAAAATCCTCTGCTTTGTCTAATCCATTGGAAAAGACAAGAGGCGCTAGCAAAGAAAGTATAAAAAAGACCACTTACCATCCCCCTTGTCTGGTTAAAGTGAATCCGAACCTCGATTCCCTATCGACCGAGACTCTTATCCCGACAATTCCAAGTCCTTGAGGTGTAACAACTTGACCTCTCATTACTGCTACACGGCTGTTAACAAATTCCGGTAAGCAATAGTAATACAATTTACAAATCGTTGACGTCGCAATCTCAAAAAAGAAAAAAGAGAAGAAGCTTTGAGAGTGCAAAGTCATTTTCGCAGCTAAGTCGGCCAATTATCACAAAGCACCCGATTTCGAAAATAATTGATCTGTATCGATCTTACGTTTCATGCACCGTTTTCAGCATTGATCATAAAAGCTGTAAATATAAGCTGTGTTTTTGCTGCAATAATGATCTTACAGCACAATAAAGTAGAGATAATCGGTGCAGCAATTTTATTGTCGCTGCTCTTCATTATTACAACAACGATGTCCATGTGCAGGCATTGGTCCACCACTACGTATGAAATAAATTTTAAAATTTCAACATCGAAGTACCATAACACCAAAGTTTTAGATGGGTTTTTAATTTTCGGGCCGACCGGAGGACTCTAGAGTCCCCAGTGCGTTTTTTGACATATAGACACTCTTTTTACAGTTTCATTATTAAAAAAAACGTCAACTGACGTATTGGGGCCTCTAGTTGGTTCACGCGCTCCACCGGTCGGCGTGATAGAGTGTATGGTGGTCGATCAAAATGCAACGATGCAATAGAGGGCACTGGTGTTGGGTGGGTGTAAAGGACAGGTTGCACAAAGGTCGCGGGTTTCTGACAATGACACGAAGACAAAGGAGGGACTTCGGCCGAGCCGTCTTTATCAACAAAACAAGTATTTTCATATTATTTCTCGGTGTAAATAACAATGTTGTTTCTTTGGCGGTTTGGTGTCCGTTCTGGTTCTCCAGCGCAACGAGACAACGAGTGTGGGGTGTTTGCAATTTATAAAACGCCGATGATTTTGATGTGTGTGTCGAGCATCGGGGATTGATGATTGATTCATGGTATGATTATGAATGTGGACGAGTCACAAATGGCGTAGCGACAGAAACAAGAGCTGGACATTCAATGCAACTGAAAAAATAATTTCGAGACCCTTTACGAGACTTGGTACGTCCGGAAAAGGTCTAGGGATGAATACGAAGCATGAATAAATGAACAAACAGAGATACATAAAGATGGGACAAATAAATGGACGGTCTTCGACACAAAAACAACAACTCACGAGCCATCAAAATAATTTCACAATTTTGTATAACAATTGTGTCTGGTTAATAAACAAAGAAATATTTCAAAAGAAAGTTAATAAACTTGTTGTAAACGTATTTTTAGACAATAAAAACGTATAATATAATTATTGAATGATTGTGATCTATTTCCAAGTACAAGCGGTATAGATGATAATAATAATAAAATTCCAAATCATACATTTTTTGTCTAAACAACATCTAATATGTGGAAAAAGTTATGAAAATTATAAAAGTTTAGCCTACCTCTTAAAAAAATAAAAATAAAAAAACTGTTAAAATTTGTGTCAAGTTTGAATTTTTTCATTCTCATATGTTTCAAAAGACACATAACGTAAAGCAGCGTTTTAAAAACTGGTAGAGAAAAAGAATCAAATATTTTTACAAATATGAAAGTGCTGAAATGACTACTACGAAATTCAAACAATTACATAGGAGATAGTTTTATTATAAAAATAAAATAATAAATAAAACTGTTTCAAAAAGCAGTTTATCCAAATTTGCATTTTTACAGGAGAGAACAAAAACTGTCCTTCTTTTAAGAAATAATTTTAATTTTTTATATCAATGACAATAAATGTGAGAAAATATGTACAGTTGCGGAATTAAAATTTCGGGCAGTTTTGTCATTTTCATATTGTAAACTCTAAAACAACCTTTATATTAATAGCCTCATTTTTTACTCTTGTATGACATTTTGACTTAAAGAACAGCGTCACTGACAGAAAAGTTTAATTGTCAAATGTCAATCATGATGACAGTAAAAGGTAGATTACAGTGAACTTTTTAATTCCGTAACTGTACAAATTGGACACTAATTTTACGGCTGGAGGCATTTTATAAAAAAACTTTAAAAACCTTTATCTCAATTCACAAAAACATGGACAAACTGTATTTTGAAAGTCTGCTCCTCATAATAATAGTTTCAGTATGGATCCCGTTAAAAGTAGGAAAGTTGTTATTCTTCAGTAAATTTCAAAATTATTTTATATATTTTTTTCATTATTTTGTTTTTCATGGTCGTACTGTTTTTATTTAATTTTTTTATTTTGTACTTAATGTTAAAGAGTGCTTTTATCAACTAATTTCAGTAGAAAAAGTAGTTTTTTATCGCCTAGGGAAATAAAGTAATTTTTATCTACTGTTTATATTCAAGAAATTTTGGTAGGTCAGTACAAAATAATACAAAATATTATTCACGCCGATAAAAATTGTTTATCTACTCGTGACTTCGTCACTCGTAAACTTAACCTTTTCACTCATAGATAAACAATTTCTTTGTCGTTTTGTATAAGAAATAACTATTAAATGACAATATATTCAAAAGATCTTTTGTTTTATAATTACAACTGTCTGAATAGAATTGGAATACACTTGTATTCCATATGTGGTGGCGAACTGACAGTGACAGAATAGACACTTGGAGTGCGCCCACTTAAAAAAATACATGGGCGTACTTTTTTTCTCTAAAAATTTTGAAGACAAGGATTGTTAGGAATATTATTTTTGTATATTCTTTTCATGCGTTAACAATTTAATAATTTGTTCATCATTCTTCATTTTATGTACGAGTACCTACTTATTATATTTTTTTAAAGAATAACAGTGGTTTTGAAATATTATTTCATGCGACGCCTATAAACAATATTTTTTTAATAGTAAACATATGTTTAGTGTCAATATTCAGTCATTTTTGACAACGTCAGTTCGCCACCAGATTTGAAACACGCTATAGCAATTTTTTTAACAATTTGATTTACCGCAAAACTGTTCAACCGTAATTAAAAAAATTATGTAAAACATGTTACTTAGAAATCTAAAACAAATTAATGAATTTGGTTTTTTTAAAATCAATTTTTAAAAATTGATTGCGTTTTGTAGTAGTTTTCTCCTCATAGTTCTTTTAAAAGTATCTAAATAGTTTTTGAAGAAAACGCACTCGATAGGAAAAAAAAGAAAAAGGTTTTTAATATCAGTAAAAAATGTTTAAATAGCTGATTCAGTTTTAATAATTTTAACTATTGTGTCTTAACAGACAAAAAATGTATTGAAAAAGTTTGTTATTTGTGTTAGTTTTATAAATGTTGAGTAATTTAGTTAAATTACTTAATCATTATTCAAGAAAAGATTTTTTTTATTTGCCACTAGTTTAAAATTAACTGATTATTTATTATCGTTGATAATATGAAATAGAACAGTTGAGGTTAATTTGTTAATTAGCAAATTTGTGGGCTTGTTGTTTTTCTGTGGCGAGCCGTTTCGAGGATGAGAAATAGGGGAGCGCAGGCTGCAGGCAGCACACGGACAGACGAACAGACAGACAGACAGAACATGGGGAGATGCTGCCACTTACCGCGGTGTAAAGGAATTCCAGAACTCGCTACAAGTGAAGGTTGCAGCAGCGACATAGGGGACACAGAAGACAGGACAATTACTAACCACACGGCAATACTCTGCTGCGATTTGGGCCGAACTTAAGTTCGGCCCTTCGTCGCCGCACGTACTACAAAGCAGGGACGACGCGACGTGGCGTACCGTGGCGCTCCGTCGCGCCGTCCCGTCTCCATTTCGGCCGATTCGCTCCCGCACTCACACGTTTCGTGACAACACAACACAATTTTAGCTACAGACACAATGACAGACACAAGTTAGCAAGGTCTACTAGCAAACAAACAATAACATATAGAGAGAAAATGGCCGGACGGAAGCGTGAAACAACATTGGCTGCTGAACTTGTGTCCGCCACCGGCGTGATACGTACCTAGGGCTACGGGCCTTAACAACATCTAAAACTATCTTAAAATTATCGAAAAAAAATCAGATTGGGTCTCGGCGGTGTATAAATCGCGCCGCAATCTGAGCTGTGACAGACTCGGGCTTTGGGGGAGACGCACACAGGGATTCAGACAAGACACAAATGAGCGCCCGGAGGCTCCGGGCGGGCGGATTAGGGGGGTGGTGGGACAGGGCGCCGCTGGGGGTGTGCGGTGCCCGAGCAAAGCGGCCAGCGAGTGTCCGCCGACCTCCGACTCAACGTGCACAGCTGATTTCCTGTGAGCCGCATTTGAATGGTCTGCGTGACTAGATTTCTGCTCGGTATAAGCTCTAAGACATCACGAGACACACTAAGATCCATGAGGGGACTTACCTCTCGGTGTATTCGTCCATGTGCGAGTACGACTGGACCGAGTTTTCCTCGATGAGAAACTTCACTCGTTGGTAGAACGACGCCGTCACCGAAGGCGGCTGTTTTCGAAGAAGAACTTCCACAGGATCGTTGCTGGAGAGACACATTATGTGGTCCGAGCACGACGGGTGAGTGCAGCATTCGCTATCGGAGCAGTCCGTCATTCCATCTAAATACAAATATATAATTCCCAATAAATGACAAATTTGGGTCCAAAAAACTTGACTATTCTATCTCGGAACAAGCATGTAAGTATTTTGAATCCTATGACTTTTAACAGTGCTTTTTTTAAACTGTGGTATTTCTTTTTTTTAAATCACCGGAGATTATTATTTTAAACAGTCCTGTGAGTTAATCGTCATGAGAAAAAAATTAAATCGACTAATGGCATCAAAATTGCACTGACTATTTCCCTCATAAAATTTAAGCCAATCAAATCTTTCAAATTTCTGAGATTCATCCAATCAGATTCAAATTACGCAATAGTTCAGCACGTGTGCAAATTATCGATAATTTGCCTTTATCTTACCTTACCGCGAATCTAATTGGATGAATCTCAAAAATTTGAATGATTTGGGTGACATATTTTTTTTTATTTCTCATAATAAGAACATTGTTCTTGTTCAGGTAATAGTCTGCAAAACACCCCTTGCGCATACCAAATTGATTCTAATTTAAAGTATCGACAATTTAGCATGCACTCGAAATATTACTATTGATAATTTTTTTAAAATTACGTTCAATTTTTTAGAACTATGGGAATTAATATGGAATTAATATGGAATTACAGGAATTATAGAAATTAATCTGAAACCAATGAAATTACTAGGGATTATTGGAATTACTGGTGAATTTTTTTTTAGAATTACTAGACTTTTTTAAAATTACTAGAATTCCTTTTGAAATTATAAGAGATAATTTCTTTTCAAAATGACGTTGATTTTGTTAAAATTATCGGAATGAATTTAGAATTACAGGAATTAATTTGGAATTATAGCAATTCCTATAATTTTGGTGAAATTTTTTTAAAATTACTGCAATTTTAATAGAATTTTTTTGAAATTAGAATTATAGTCGTTAAAACATAACTTGATTAATGCTCAATTTTTTTCAAGTTAACCGCCCCTCGGCGGTAATAATAAAAATAAAAAATAAATAATAAAAAATCTTAGTTTCATCATTCTCAGTTACGAAGTAAAAATTGTAAAAATAAAACGGAATAGGCAACATTTTCCTTGAAAGTATTACATAAACAGATTAGATCGGTTAACGCCTAAAAAATTATGCATTTGCATTAGTAGTTTCCACGAGGTGTTTATTAATCGAACCCACTGCTACGATTATTATCGGTAATAACATATAGACCGAACGAGTGCGTGGCACGAATCCAATTTTCTCAAAGTACCGTCGACCACCTGGGATTCCATAAATAATGATATAACCTGTTATTTTGCCATTAATCAAAAGCGATTACATTTAAAAATAATATCTGGGACGGTTTGAAAGTCGTGTAGAGATTTCATGCAGGCTGTCATACTCGATGCAAGTCACGTGGAAGGGTCCGCATACATGACAGGCAATAAAACAGGATAGTTGGGTATCAAATGTGTTTTTGCATCGAATTCGGAATTTTAAAGCTCCCCTCTTTGCAGCCGACAAGTCCGATACTCGTCAAAGCGTAACATTCCGAAATAATTCGCGAGTTTGATCAATAAAGGGAAAACTCACCGTGGTCGTTGTCGACGTCGTCGTCGCATTCCATTTCCAGGGGAATGCTGCAGTCAGAGCCGGCCCAGCCCTTGATGCACACACATTTGTAGAGGCCTTCTTCAAGGGTGCATTGGCCGTGTCCGGAACAGCCGTTTTCGCACCCGGCTGCAAGTCATCTTAATGATTATTTTTATAGAGGAGGAAGAAGGGCGGATAGGAGGACCGCAAGCTATTACCGGGGAAGGGAACCCAGTTCTGACACGGTTGAAAAGATAATTGTACGTAGAGAAGGTATTAATTTCTCCGGTGGAAGAGACGCGTGAGGATGGAAATGCGGAAGCTGTGAGCGATAAGTAAATTAGTTCGAGAGCGCAAACACGTAATCCTCTGAAAGGGGTAGAGACTGACAGTCATTTTAGAAATACAACCGAAAAAATTACAAAAACAAGGAAAGGAAAAATAAGAGGATTTACGTCAAAATTTGCAAAAATATGGAAAGATGAGATAAAAAGGATCTAAATGTCCAAGCTCATTTTCTTTGTTACTTTGAATTAATTTTTTTAAATATTACATTAATTTTCTAACTTATTCGAAAAAGAAGTTTCTCTTTTATTTTTCTCCTTTGCTTCTTATTTATTTTACAACTTGAATAGTTTTTCTGATTTTTCTTCTTTTCCAATAAATGTTTGAAAAGTTCTTCTATATATTATATACGTATTTGATTTCATTTTTAACACATGTATTTTTGAAAAAAAAATTAGAATAAAAACTGTGATTAATTTCATTTGAATTACTTATTGGTATAAGTTAGAGTGTGGAAAACAGAGACTAAACTAAAAGTAAATAAACGTTTCGCTGACTTTTAGTGTTCATTTTAATAAAAATTGTTGCGCCAGGCTATTGTGAAGTCATAATCCGTTTATCACTAAAAATGTAAAGTAGCTCTACATTTTATAATACATTTTTCTGGACAAAATCAGGATGAATTTAAATAAAACAAGAACTGAAGAAAGCTTGGAAAATATTAGGAACTAGGTTTGGCACGTCATTTCTCAGGAAACTTCATTCATGCGGAAAGAACAAAACATCCGTTATACTCACGAAGGGTACAATGCCGGCCGTTCCACCCTTGCGAGCACACGCACGTTCCATTCCTGCACTGTCCATGTTCCTGGCATCTGGGATCACAAGGCAATTGCTCGCAGCGAGGACCCGTCCATCCCACATCGCACCGACATTTCCCGGAATCGCACCGCCCATGAGACCCACAATCCAAATTACAAAGGGCTGCAACAAACCCTTTGATTCCTAGAACAGAAAAAAAAACACTTTCGCGTACCTTGGGAGCAGTCGGGTCCTGTCCAGTGTCTGTTGCAAACACACTTGGCGCTTTCCAGGTCGTACACTCCGTGGTCGGAGCACGTGGGGAGGCATTTATGGACTTGCTCGTCGATGACGTCGCATCGGGGACCTTTCCAGCCGGCCTTGCAGTAGCACTGCCCGTGGACACAAGCCCCGTGCTCGGAGCAGGTGGGGTCTTCGCAGTCGGGCTCGTCGCAAGTCTCGCCTTTCCAGCCCGGTTTGCAGTGGCAGGAGCCCCGGACGCACTGGCCGTGTCCGGAGCAATCGGCCACGCGGCAGTCGCTCTCGGGGATGTCGCATTCGGCGCCTTTCCAGCCCTCCTCGCAGTGGCACAAGCCACCGCCGTATTGCCCGTGGCCGGAGCACAGGACGGGGCACACACCTAATTAATTATACTAGTTAAAATGGCGTTTTATATTTTATTCCTGCCAAAATTTAAGGGTCTAATAAAATAAATCTATCCCACAAAATTAAAACAAATTTTGTTTTAAAAAATGGAAAAAATATGTATTTACAATCAATGTCAAAGTGACTGTGTTACTGGAGTACGAGTACGTGGGGAAAATGTTATTTTCAACAACCAATTGCCAACATTTTTTGTTTTCAAAATCATGTTTTTGTGTGGCCCAATATAACATAATTTTAGTACTAAAAATGGTGGATGCGCCGGGCCAGAAGAAAATTTTACCGCAATTATTACTGAACATTGAAATAAACATCGACTTTACTGTTTTTATCAGATTATTTCGTATTTTATTTATATTTTATTTTATAATTAGTTTATTATTTTCACAGACTAGTCATTAAAAAATTGAACAATATGTACTCGAATAAAATAAAAAAGGTGATTTAATAGATATGCAAATTATAAAATAATAAAATTGTCTATAATTTTAAATTATTTTGTTTATATGAATTCTACAAAATGCAAGAATTGAAGTTAAAAAATAATTTGAAGATCATCTTTTTGCATATAAATACATCAATCCTTATCGAGTGAAAAAATAAATCTTACATATTTTTATCTTCACAATAAAGCTTATTTTTATGTAAAACATTTGTTTTTAAATATACGAGCTAGGAAAAAAAGTTGTGTTTTTTTTAAATATTATTGTCCAGTAGCTCTCTGCCTATTGTACCCATCTACTGCAATAAACTGTTTTGTTATTTAGGTACAAGAGATATTTAGGTACATATTATGCTACCTCAAAAAATAGATTATTATAAAATTCAATACACCATTATACCATTATTATCTCGTAGCAAAAATTTCATACAAAGTGATTTTTTTAAAACGAGCCATCCTAAATATCTCAATAAACAAACATTAGAAAATCTGTAGATACGTCAAATTTTATTAGCAGAGGGACACCTTTTAGTGTATTTTTTAAAGTTGTAGCATCAACTCTTTGTAAGACAGACAAACCATTCAAAATTTTAAATGGTACCTCTTTGTGGTACCTCATATGAAAATTTGAAGAGAAAGAACACTAAAAAAAGTGTTTCCTTTCTAAATAAAAATTCACCTGTCTCAAAATATTTTATTTCTTTTGAGATACCCAGATCGGCTCGTTAAAAAAAAATTGTTTACAGGGTGCGCCAGAACTCGCGCCCTCTGAGGGCGAAAAATGTCATAAAAGGTAAGATACCAGGAACATGGAAGAAATGTTAAAAAAATTATATCTACAAAAATTTCGAAGTTATGAGATTTTAAATTTTGCACTATTTATTTCTGTTGGAAAAATAAGTTTTTTTGCTACAGGGAATTAGAAGAAAAACAAGAAAGCTCTATTCTAAATTGCAACTCTGTTTAATGTTATTTGTGGTTTTTATTGGCAAAATTTTTGTACCTTTATTAAATGATCTATCATTAAAAAAGACATAAAAAAATGTCAAATATCAAAAAATAAATGTCAAAATTTTTTGACAGATAGAACTTTTTAAACATTTTTTCCCTGTTCCTGGTGTCTTATCTTACTTAATTTTTTTATCTGGGGCGCGAGTTCTGACACACCCTGTATTAATAACTACAATTTTAATATTGACGTACGAGTATTTCATCAAAAATTAACTGTAAATTAAACAATACAAATTGTCTCAATGTTTTTCAAATTATTTTTTTTTTAATAGAAGTCTGCTTTATTATTTATTAACAGTAATATCTTGTACTTAGTAAACAATAAAAAAGAGGTATAAATTAATTGCAAAAGTTAAATCATTAAGATGTAAATATGTATTTAACAACTCTCTTTCTTATGTTCTCAAAATTTTTAATAAAAATCAATATCCAGTTAACGGGCATTCTTTTTAATTAAATACATTTCTTTTTATATATCTCCTCGTGTCGTCACAATGCGATTATTATCAAAAAAGTAAAAAAGCCGTGTCCCGGATCGATGGCATCGTCAGCCGTGGCCATTAATAATGGCGGTTCTGTTTGTCCGAGAGCTTCGTAATGGAATTGGGAAGCGAGCGGTAGATAAAGTAAATACTCACTCTTGGAGCAGTCGATCCCTTGAAAGCCGTCGATGCAATCGCACTTGCCCAGGTAGCAGGAGCCGCGGCCCGAACAGTCGTTAGGACAAGTCGTGCTCACACCTTCCGCTTCTGAAATGATCAGAGATACGCTGTGCGGCTGCAATTCGTCGTTATAGACCGACAGGAACCAGCGGCCCGTGTCCAAGTATTGGAGGAGGCTGACATTCACCAGCATCGGCTCCATATCGGCTTCCCTTTTCGCAATCACGTGCTCGTCGATACCCAACCCCAGGTCGAGAGTGGGATGGGGCAAATCCGTCGATAAGTCCTCATAACTCAGCTTGATATTGTGAGGAACATAGAACGGCCCTTTGGGCTCAGAGTCGGCTAAAATTTTCCGAGTCCCTTCATACGAACTCGAGATACTATCCAAAACGTCGGTTCGGTGCAAATTCTTATTCTCGTAGCCAAACCGGAACTGTGGATGTGACACCCCTTCTTGTTCCTTCTCCTCAGTGGCCCTTTTCCGTCTCAGCCTATGGTCCAGTCGCCCCCCTTTAATGAACTCCACAAAATCGTACTGAGTCACACTGGGGGCCACGTTTCTCCTCCCGTAAACCGCAAAATTTGCCCCCCAAGGCAGCGTGAAATTAAACCGAATGAAAGCCGGTTGCTTGTTTCGGAATTCTGAATTCCAGAATTGCGATGGGGGTATCGTGACGGTGTGGAGAGTGTTGAATTCGCGCTGTTCGAGGGGCAGTGGTGGGTACTGCGTTTGTGGTTGGCTGCGCTGTTGGGGCGGTTGGAGTGAACTGTGTTGGGTTGTTGCACTGGAGTGCTCCGCCGTACTCGTGGGGAGGGATTCTGAAATTTTCAGGAGATTTAAAGGAAAAGATTGGAAGTTTGGGGTACCTTCGGTCGGCATTTGAGTCGAGACGGAACCCTGCGTCATCTGGTCATGGGTGACATCCTTAACATCTTGCACAAGAATGCAGTTTGATGAGTCCATGTTGGGTTTCATTGAACTCACCGCTGAAACAAAAGAGACAAAAACGCTATTTTGCTTGTTAATTATTTGTCAGTTTGCCATAATTTCGTTTTATCTCCCGCGGCCTAATATCATTTTATTGATAATAACCCCCATTCTGGTATTTTTCTCTCACCCCGCTATAAAACCTTTCGTTGGCTTTATTCCGAGAACACGGGCGTTCGCTTTACGCCAATATTTGCAATATAATAGGGTACAATGTACCCATTTAACGGTTATGTTTCGATATAAAACGGTTGAGGCAATCCCTGAAATTTACAATGCGGCACGTTGCAACAAATCACGATGACAACAAAGCGCCGTAAAGTCGTTTAACTACCTGCGAAATACGCCAACATGGCGGTGAGGGCCACAGCCAGGAGGATGAGCCCGATGCTGAGACATTTCCAGGAGCATCGGTGTTGGCATCTCTTGTCGATGTGGAACCTGGACGGGGAGTACGGCGAATAATGCGGAGGATGAGTCGACTGGGCCGGTCGTAGAGGGAACACCGGCATCACCAGCGGCGACTGTTGAGGGCCCCCTTGCAGGGTCGTACTGCTGGCAGGAATCTGCTGCGAGAGCTGTGTCTGCTGCAGCCCGGGCGCCAGCCTGAAGCAAATTTCACCATAAAAAACTAAGCTCTATACGAGTATAGAAGAATCAAGTAATAAGAAAAAAATAAAAATCAAATTGTTTAATTTTTACAAAAACTAAAACTTCTTCAAGAAAATAATCAAATCATGTATTTTTGTTGAAATAGGTGTCCCAGCGAGTTGGTAAAGTCTATTATTGACCTTTAATTGTTAAAGTTTTAAAAAAATTATATAGGAAATTGATCAATACTAAACTGAAATTATTTTCAACTATACAGGATGACCCAAAATAAGTTACACAAATTTATGTTTTTTCAAATGAAACTCCATGTTTCATTGGCATTTCTGGATGTAGCTTTTTATTAATGTTTATAAACTAAACTTCTATTGGTGGATTTTGCTTAGTTCTTGAATTAGTTGTTTTTTTGACAAAAACATACTTTTTTACATGAAAACTAAGACAGCTAATAATGTTTTTTTATAACTGCAAAGAAAAATGTACAAATTTTAAGACTATAACAATTTTTTAGTATGTTGTACTTGTACAGATAAAAAACACCTTCTTTTTGTTTTTGCATCTAATAAGAGATTATGAAATTATCTTTCCAAAAACATTAACTTTTAAGTGTCTACAATTAATAACTTAAAAGATACGAGTATTTAACTTCAGGGTGTTCTACACAACTTTACTAGGCTTGCGCCTAATGTACGCACCCAGATATGCAAAAGTCACAAAACACTGGACACAAAAAACACATGACAGTAGTTGTGAAACTGCAGTTTTTCAGAAACAATTATCATGTGTTCTATCAAGAGACGGCATGAATATGATTCTAGTTTATCTATCTTAATCACTAACTAACTAAAAAGGTTGTAATACGAGGCGCAGGCCTCGTAAAATTATGTGAAACACCTGTATAAACATAAAAAAATTAATCATTATTTCAATATCCAAAAAGTGCACATTTGCATAAGAGATGGAAAAAATATCTCTCAATAACCACATTTATGTTCCACTGAATCTATTATTCTTTATTTTTACAATAAAATAATTTGAATTTTAATATTTATGTCAACCTTTACAATCTCTGGACGAATCACAAATCCGTAGTAGAATTACTATGATTGCCTTGTTATCAAAAAATGCTCATGTTAATGATATGCATTGTTGCTACAATTAACATTTAAACTTAAATATATTTTAATTTATCAATTTATTAGATGCAAAAATAAAAAAATAGAGTGTTTCATTTATTTTTTTTAATTATTTGATTTAAACAAAGTTTTACATTTTTTTAACTTTTCGACTGCAATACATTAAAAAAATGTTATAGTCTTAAAGTTCACACTTTTCTGTTTACAGTGGTAATTTTTTTTTCTAGCTGTCTTAACTTTTTTTGTAATAAATTTTTAAAAAGGATATGTTTTCGTCAAGAAAAAACTAACTTATTTCAATAACTAAACAAAATCGGCAAAGTTTAGCTTAAAAACATTGAAATCAAAAGCTATATTCAAAAATGCCAAGAATTTTAATTTAACATTTAATAAAAAAACACAACTTATTTTGGGATACGCTGTATAGTTGAAAATAATTTCAGGCGATGCACTAAATTAGTATTTATCAATTGTCTATACACATTTTTTAAAATTTTAATATTTGAAGATAAATATGTTATGGACTTTATCAACTCGCTGGGACACACTGTGCAAACAAAATTGAAAAATAAAGTACCGTTCAATTTTTTTCATTTCATTTTTTAGGTAATATTCGAAAATAAGAAACTTGTTTGGTAAGTAAGAATGAGCAAGCACGAATTTAGGTATATTTCATATTCTATTAGTTTTCGCAACAGAAAAATATTGAGTCGGGGCAGCGCAATCTCCCGCTGCAATTTCTATCCTTTTTCCTGGCTTTAATTGCATTTTCTCTTAAAACCGGCTTGGAAATGATCGGATCATCGTTGATCCGAAGTCACCCTCACCGTCTTCGATCCAATTTGTCCGAGTTTTTAATATCACCGACGGGTGTGCATCATTCATCGCGTTTCGATTTAATCCATAATCAGTTCTCTCGGTCCCAAAACTAGTCAACTTGGGTCTCTTCGGGGATTAAAGTTGTCCGATGCAAAACCACCCCGTGTCCGCGTCATTGCACCGAATCAGATCGAGATAGATTGGATTTTTTGAGCGTTGTTTGATTCGAGTTACATGTTTAATTCGTCGAGAGGGTGTCTCGATTAGTTCCACCACTAGACGATGAATGATCAAATGCGATATTTCGGCCAGACGGCCAAATCAGCCGCCGTGAAATCACCATTTACTTTCAACGCGGTCTTTGTTCGAAATTATTCGACCAAGTTTAATTAGATTTGTTTAGAGTTGCGGCCCGAGACGGCGCACCTTCGCCAAATTATAGTCATGGAAATCAAAAAATAAAGATTCTCAAAAATTAGTTACAAACTTCCCCATTTCTAGTCAATGTTGGGTTATTTTTGTCGTTTTCTGAGTCACCCCACCCCATCGATTCAGTACCGTTATTGCTTATGAAAATGCAATTACACGGCCGAGCGACATTACAGCTTGCCCTGCCTGAAAATATATAAATAAAGCATTGATACAAATTGCTTTTATTCAGCCATCAAATTTGCATGATAATAACGGCGTGCCGCAGCAAAACGTATTAATATGCATTAAATCAGCAGTAATTATTCGGCTATTATAAAATGCAGCAATCGAATTAATTTTTGATATTTGTTGTAAGACACGCATCGCTAAATCACGAAAGCGCCCCTTGGAGTCTTTATTGTCGGCTGTAAAATAACAAAGAAGCTTTATTAGTTTGATCAATTAGACTATAAACCCAATTGAAAGGTCATTGTGACCAATAAAAGGCAATTTGTTGATATAGGAACAAACAACGGGCGCGTTTATCGTCCCGAATCAAAGTTTCAAGTGGCTAGGGGGCTGTAAAATGTAATTTTTACAGCCGCGAGTATAAAAATATCACCGGTAATTACTTTCGTTCAATCTTACTTGTAGATAAATTGATGGATTAAAGCCGGCAACACCTTCAGCGACTGCCATCGAATTTACATTTATATAGCTTTATTCGAAATTTGAACTTAATCTATAAGACATTACATGGCAATTTTATTACTGCGTTAAATGACGCGGAAAGCAATGTAATGCAGAGTTATCAACTGAGAGCATTGTTTAGTTACACAGAAAAATTGCCAACGCGCCACGAGAATCACTTTCGCGTTTTCTTATTGGAAGGAAATCTTTTGACAGGGTTTTAATTAGCGTCCGTGTTAATTAAATGATTAGTTAGGAGACGGTGTGTAGTTTGTTCGGAAAGCTCGTTAGTTTTAATTAGTTTTTCGCCAAAAATGAAAAATATGAACTGGGGCCGGATGCCGACGACCTCTTCGACCGGTGACAGTCTGATGAAAGTTGCGAGACAAAGGAAAGTTTTGATAGAGGGGAAATTACAGGATCGATATTGCAGAATCTTTAATAAAAAATTAGGCTTCTGTAAATAAAATATTTTGCACTCATATCAGTTTATAATGTTGTATGTTGTATAAATAATTGAAAAAAACATGTATTTGGTGGTAAAATACAAAATAAAAGTCGTTATAACAATATACTGTAGCGAATATTTTTTTTTATTATCCATATTTTATTCAAAAATTGTGGAAATGGAAAAAGAAAGAATATTTCAAGCAACATTCAGTGTCAAAAATTTCATCAATTTTTAAACAGCATGTTTTTTCTTTTAGTAGTATTTTTTTTTATCTACTTCCTAGTATACTTACTTTATATTTACTCTCTCGATAATCTACAATTTTGCTTATTTTGTCTTGAGATATTTTTTAGAAGGAAATATACATAGGTACTATGAAAAAATATATAAATAAATGTTTTTAAAAAATAAGCTTTTATTAAAAAAATGTGCTTAAAAAGTAAAAAATATTTATTTTCTTTCAGAAGCCGTTAGCCGTAATGTTATAACCGCTCCCAAGGCTTTTATAAATTTTAAGATGATTTTAAGGTGTAAGCAAATGTTCTTCTCTGACAATAAAAAATATGTTTTACTTTTTAGTACACTTTTAAAAAAATCCCTTTTTTATATACTATTTTTTTTTACTTTTTAATCTTTACTCACTGTTCTGTGAAATCATTAAGTGTTAATTTTCTTGATTTTTGAATTTTTAAATTGTTTTTTATTTTTGTTTTGGTTTTGAATTTCTTTGATTTTTGAACTTTTTTGATTTTTAAATTTGATTATTGAATTTTTTTAATTTTTGTTTTAGAGAACCTCTTGATTTTTTTATTTTATTGATTTTTGTACAATCCTTTATCTTTTCTTGCTTTATCCATAACTTTGTAAGTTAATTAAAAGCTTACAAAAACAAAACTAATAGCAAACAAGTTGATATAGGTAGAGAGGATCGTACGTAATGATACTCGTTTTTTAACAACTTTAGTTTATAAAAAAATACCTTAAAACCTAATAGTAAAACAAAAAATTTAAATTAGATTAAAACGCCGTGAGGTGAAAAATGTTTTTATTTTACTATAATTACGAAAAGTATTTGATTAATATTAGTTTGTAATACACAATTCTGCTAAAATTACAAGTTAACAAGAGATTTCACTGAATAATTTACAACTTAAGTCAGCTTCGTAGTAAAATGCAAGGGCAATACATCTAATTTTTATGACATTAGAATTTGAGTAAAAAAGGCAAATTTTCTGTAAGGATTTTTAGGAAAATTTCTTTAATGCCGCTTGTCCATTAACCTTGAAACCACTTCCGGCCTTTTTCCGCTTCACTTCGCTTTCCATCCGTTCTAAAACCGCCGAAATGCAATGACCAGCCCCCTTCCGCACATGTTTCTCCAGCAATCATTTTCCGCGCCCCCTTAAAGCTCCATTTCTATTCATGACGGAGCAAAAAGCAAGAACCCCCTTATTTTAGCGCAAGGTTGCCATTTTGCAATTTAAATCGGTACTTCTTGAGCATCGTTCGATTCCAATTCCGTCCCTGAGCCGCTTTCAAACAGTGCGTTAATAGACTAACAATTTTCGGGGTGAATTTAATTAATCCGCCCCGAAACAGTATCGATACTGAAAAAATGCGATCCATGATTGAATTATAAACAAAGCAATTACGACACGGGCCAAAAATATTTTTGTTTCTTGGTGTAGAGTGAGATGATTTATTAGGCGGCACTCGGGAGACAATTAAACTTGGCGCTTCCAATTAGTGTCAATCATTTCTACAAAGCGGATCCCGTGTGTAATACAGGATCAATGAAATTCGTAATAAGAGAAATAGTAATGCATAGATGATAAGCAAAGCCGAAACTACGGATCACTCATAAAATAAATACCGGATTTGCATAATTATAACTAATTTCAGAGATAATAATCATTATTTAGCAGGTTTTAATCAGATTGCGGGTATGTTTCGGTTTGTATAGCTAAGGGAGTGGCTTTATAACAAATCTCGGGAAAAAAATCGTGATTTAACCCCTGACACAGGAAGCATTTGAGTTATTTTTAGAAGTTACTAAGGTTATAACTCGCTTAGCGACTCCAATGAAGTGTTTTTTTTAATGTTTTTTTTTTCAGGAAATTAAAGGAATCGAAAAATAAACGACTTTTACAAAAGTGAATTTAAAAGATATAACATTTACGTGGCGCTAAAATAATGCTGTTAAATTTCAAATTGAATATCTTTATTCTGAGATAATGAAAATTTTTATAACAATTTTGAAAAACAATTAAGACAGATCTCCATGTTCATATTTTAAAAAAAGACAACAATAAAAATATTTCAGCTTTTGTTATGTAAAATTTTAATAAAACTAATTGCTTTTTCTGCTATAGATTTTTTAAAAGCTCGCTTGTTTCTTATCAGATTTTGTGAAATAAATATTTGTAATACAGTTTCTGTTTGTGCAGTCAAGCAGATCAATAACTTAGTAATCAGGTAAATTTAAAAAGCTGAATACAAAATAATAAAATATTTATTGTATCTACCTGTGTTTTAACAATTATTTTCTTTGTAATAATTAATGACTGAGCATTAGTAGGTATAAAAAAATGAGGAAACGGATATTGTTAAATTTTCAAAGTTTACTTTTATATTTTTTGTTAGTTTCATTTCCATTTAAAAATTTAAATAATTAAAATTTAGTTTTTACAGTTACTAATCAAAAAAAAATTCTTATATTTACTTGTCTTGTCAATAAACGTGTTTTGAGCACATTTGTTATTGATCTTTAATTTCTTTCTTAATTTTAACTGTTAGTGTTATCTGCAAATTATTTAGCATTTCTATTTGAAATTCATTTTGTTTTAATTTGGCAAATTCCTACTTGATATTTTTCATTTCCACCAAATCAATAAAATAACAGTTTTCATTTGTTGTTTACAAATAAATGATAAGTTTTTTCTACTTTAAAATTTAAAATTTTGTGTTATTTTTTCCTGCAAAATCCACAACGATTAAATTTTTGTTTCATACGTTATTTTTCAAAAGTGTGTTTATTAAATTTTTGCTGAGGTAAAATATGACTTTTTTTGTTTCAAAATCTTGAAAATAAAACTCATTGCTCAATAGAAAAAAACTTTATTGTAAATTTTAAATTTGATTGTGGCAATCACAATTTTTCTCGAAGTTAAGGAGTTGGTTTCGTGCCAAATCCTCTTTCAAAACATAAATACAGCAACAATTTTCTTCTAAACTACATTCAAAATCAGAGGAGTTAAACTTTTAAAATATTCAGGAAAAACTTCGTCCCTCAATAAATCGAGTAAAGATTTTAAATAAAAAAAGAAATAATGTCACATAAATTTCAAATTGAACCTTTGGTAAAACTTTGAAGAAAACTTTGTAAAATTTCAGTTCGTAGAGGCTAGGGGAATATTAAACTTATCAAATCCCATTTTATTTTTATTTCTGTCAATAAATCAAACTTATACTGAGCAAGTTTTCTCGTGTTTCGAGTGTCGAATTTCTCTTTCGTAGAGGCTGTTACCGGAGTGCGCAAACTTTGCGGTCTTGTAATTAAAACGTACGGTTATTACCTCGGCTCGTGCGAAAAAGGTTCCGCATATATGTTTCGCACCCTCCTCGGCAGGGGTGGCGGCCTCGGCCCGTAGCTATCCATTGTGGCCGTTTCACTGTCACATCACCATCACACCCATCCAAATCGGGATCTAACGCGTTATCGCCGTTGTGAATTAATAAAACAGTAATTAAATTCGAGCTGGTGTGTTAACATGACGCGGAGCCGATAACATCGCAAGACACGCACTGCTCAACAGTTTGCGACGAAGTGGGGTTGTCGCAGTTCGGGGTGAACTCGATAGCGGCCGGCGCAAGCGCACCCTCGCCCTCACCCTATCTGTCGCCGTCACCTCAGTCACCTGCATCATGTACTCTGAAGCCGGCACTGGAAAACGCCTTATCGAAAACGGCCGCTAAACATGCGAATTTCAACCCCATTGTGCCACCAAGAGGCCATTTTTCATCCTCCGGAAACTACACCGATCGGTATCTACCGGAAATGGATGTGTTTCGGTTTCAATCATGTTTTACATACAAATTGAAAAAATTCATCAATCACGCGCACACTTACCGGACCTAATTGCCACGATTCATTAGGGGAGAAGACGAAAAGACACCACTTTCCGACCCCACACACATATTCTTTCCGTTTTTATTTTCTCACAAAAAATAAATTAAAAAAGGTGATTTATTAAGACCCTTTACTGGCGGAGCTTTTGAGGGGAGCTTTTATGGACGGAGGGGCATTTATGAGTGGTTATCTTCTTGGGAGACTTGTCAACAAGTCAATGAAAGCTTTGACTCCGGTGTTTCACCCAAAAAGCTCTCGCAGGAATTTACTACAAATTAAAAAATAAATAATTCGAGCGCCCACCAGAAGGGGAGGAAAGCTGATTGGCGCTTAACTTTTTGAGTGTGTCAACACGCAACGTGATTTGTTTTGCCCTTTTTAATAGAATCGGAAATGTGCTTCAAAAAATTACAAATTTGGACTAAAGCTTTGAAAAGCCAAAAAGTTGCAGAAAATTAACATGATTTTTTTTAAGAAAAGCCAATAAGAAAACAAAAGTTTTCATTTTCTGCTGTGTCAAAAAAGCTTCATTAATACAATATTTTTAATTTTAAACCCTAAATATGTGCTTTGCAATCAGCAAAATTTATGGAAGAAGACGTGTTTCAGATTCCTGCAAGAAGTTATCGGCATTTGTGTAAAATTTTCGTAAATTTGTTGCTATCATATTGTGCGAAGCTTTTTGTTGCAGGAAAAAGCTGAAACGTTGCAATGCGTCCATTATGAAAATTCGATCTGAAATGACACGTGTATCCGCGAGTGGCCGATACCCCCGAGAATTGGAGCTCTTCGGCGTAGAGCTTAGCGCAAAATCTGCCACTCAAGCTTTATGTTTTCTGCTAAAGCCACCTTGCAAACCGTCGTTCGGCCCGATATCAGATTAATTAATGCTGAATGGACCAGATATAATAGCACGCCATCCGACAAATCACGATCGGTATAATTGAATCCGGTGCTAATTTCGCAACGATCAAAAATTCAACAACATGGAAGTCTGTCGCTCTGAAATGCAACAATTATGTAAATAAGAACTGAGTTAATTAGTAGATTATAAATGTCTCGACGAAAATTTTGAATTATTCCGACACCGGCGCCACTCAACCCTATTATACACCTAGTATTGATTTCCCATCCCCCTTTTTCACTTATTGGATTGCCACAAGTTGTCGGTTAGCAAAAAATCAATAGTCGAAAGAAATGACAACTCATCAATCAACTCCTCGAATTTTTCGAAACGTTTTCATCGGAAATCGGGACGAAAACAGAACTAGAGTATTTTTTTTTACAAAAACCAAGCCCTTGTCATTTGGATTTGTAAAATGAATTTAATTTCCGTTTTATGCCAACAAAACTAATAAAAATATTTGGTTTAATCTGGGATAAGGAAATTGAAAAAACGACTATACATTATATATAGACAATTTTTCCGTATCAGGGAAAAGAAAGTTGGTTTTATTAAACGCAAAATACTCGTCTGTGTTACCACATAATGTCTCGTGAGTCGGCTATTGAAACAGCAAATGAGGAACTTTGAATATGAGAAGCAGCGAATTCGAAAGCAAAAAGAGTTTCTTTCAAATTTTCTCAAAATTTAATATTCAATCAGTTATTTGGTGATTTGGTCACTTATTTGCATAACTAAGGGTTGGATTCGCCTCAACTTGCAGCTGTTTCATCCCCTTTTCCCTTAAACAGGTTGTTTGACAGATTATTCTAGCGATGTTTCCTGACGTATTAAGTTAGGTAATAAACTAGAAAAAAATTCAATTTGTAAATGAATTCCATTGTAGCCGGTGATGAAAATGTCTACCGGAATTAATTAAAAAATATATTTTTGCGAGTAGAGAGCGCATCGTCGCTTTTTCCGGGGTCATTCTCTGACCCCCAAATCTATTTTCGGTAGCTTTTAGCTTTTTTGAAGCTAAATAAACTGGATATTGTTGTGTAAAATTCTCGTTTTTTCGTTCGGTGTAAAAATTCGATTCGCCACTTGAAAAAAACTCCGTCAGTAACGCAATAACGCCGGTTCCCGTCGGCTGTGAGCCTCGAATGGCCGTATTTTCTCGTGACAGCAGCTCTGTTGAGTACAAAGAGACGGCGGATGTGCGCCTCTTCATCAATTCGCTGGGCTGCTACACCGATATTGATCCCGAATTGATGTAATTTGAGATACAGTGGAGATATCGGAGAGGCGCGACTGCAACCGGGCACAGGCATGCTGAGATTCAGATATGATTTCGATGATAAGCATATGTGACTCCGGAACGTTGTTGCGAGAGGTTCCGGGAGACAGAAACGAGCTGTATCGAGGAGTTTGGCGGGCGACAGATGCTGTAACATCCGAACCTTGCCGCAGCGAGGAGACTCCGGGTAACCCCAAAACACGGAATTTGTTCACTTTTTGAGTGCCCCAACACGCAATGTTATTTGTTTCGCCCCTTTTTAAATGAAATCGAAAATATGCTGCAGGGCTTTCGGCACAAAATTGTAAAAAAGCAACGCAAAACTTTTTTTTAATCAGCATCACTATGAAGTAATCATTGAGTAAAAACGGTTCTGTAGAAGATATATCAAAAAGTTTTCATTTTATTAAGTTTTCGACCTGCGGTAGAGTAAATATTACATCTTGACAAAAAACTGGAGTAAAAAATTAAAAAACTGACTTTTATTTTAAATTTAAAACACTATGTATGTACTAGGTAAACAGAAAGTATGAAACCAAACGTTTTGTGCTTAAACTATTGATTTTCAAAAAAACTAATTGATTAATTATAAAGTATGAACTATAAAAATGTGATGTTTCTCAAGAATAGAATTTTTTGCACTTTCTTTTGTTTTTGAGTTCTGCACAATTTTTAACTTTTTCAGGTGGCAACGTACTATAAAGTATCACAAAAATGTTTTTTATATACAGAAGCTATGATCTAAAAATTACAACTGTACACATTTTAATCAACAAAACAAAATGTCATTCTCAAAACATAATCACATAAAAAATGCAATACATAAACATACTAGTAAAAAAATTTGTCAAATCTTTGGATAGAGAAAGTGAGACTTAGATAAATTTATCCGAAATTAAGTGACGCCAAGCTCAAATTTAGGCCGCAAATTAAAAGCATTGAAATAGATCCTCATTTTGCAAAGAAGTTGAATCACAGGTCCTTTAAAAATGTAATAAGCTACGTCTTAAGCAACAAAAAAGCCGATGGTTACAAAGAAATTGTAAAAGAATTAATTAGGAATTATTGCAACATGGGATGTAGGATGTCACCTAAAATTCATTTTCTCTATTTTCATTAAAAAAAAATTCCTAAGTACAAAGGGTGCCGTTAGTGACGAGCAAAGAAAAAGGTTCCAAGGGAGATGGGATCCAGCTATGGTTTCTGATAAGACAAGTTAAAACGCTCTACAAAAAAAGAATGTTACATCTTTCAACACTGTCTTTGTTCATTGAATAAATTAATTTCTTTTGTCATCTAATTAATTTCTATGTTTAATAGACAATTTTTACGATAGAATCTAAAAAAAACTATTTTCGTATAACTTACATTAAAAATCACATTAAAAAAATATTGGGTGGTGTTATTATTTTCTGAAAATTCTAACACTATCCTTACATGTAGGGAAGAAATGATTACTGTGCTGACATTATTGTTAATTTGTAGGAAGCAAAAGGTTACTTTGAATTTTCTTTTTGCAATTTTTAGAACCTTGTTTTATAGGAATTTAAAGAAAAACTGTCAGTTCATTTTTCACAAAATTAAACTTTACAGATGATGGTTTTAAGAGCTACATTGAGGAAATTGGGAAGCAATAAATGCGGTAGCTTTCTCACTATTTTTGTACTTTTTTTAAGCTTGTTTTCTTAACATGATCTTAAAAAACATATTATAAATGTTTAAAGTTTTAGATTTCAAACTTCTGGGTTCGTATGAGTACACTCCCGACAAATAATAAATATAAATTAAAGAAAAAAACAGCAAAAACCAAATCCAAAGCGATTGTTGCACTGTACCGTTTTATTTTGTTTATTGGTGGAATTTATTGTGCTTTATTGGCCCTTCTTGGTGTAGACTCCCCAAATGTTGTAATTTAGCGTTTTCTTGGCTGTGTTGTATCGCAGTCCTTACAAGAAAATTCGTGTCTGAGTTAGTGAGATTTAATAAATGATGCGCGACTCGAGGCGAGTGTTGAGTAATGACGGACTTCCTCCATTACAATATATCTCACTTATAGCCATGTTTCATCACTTGAGCTGCCTTCCGCAGATACGGCATCGGGCTCCTCTCCTCTTCGCCGTCATGTTTTAATTTTAATGCCGTGATGAATGATTGATTCGAGTCGATCTCGCGCGAAAATTCACCTCTTCTTTCGCTCGATATTAGCCCCCGCATGAGTCAATCTGGGATACGCACTGTGGAGTCAGTTTATCCGGCGGCCTATTGCAATTTGCGCCCCCATCCCGCCCCACGGTCTAATGGTGTTAGCGTTACGAATTTACCAATTTCACCACCCTATATGTTAGCTCAAGTCGACTGCTGTAATGCACAAAGAATGTAGCAGCGAGCGGGGCGCACTATAAAATTTCATTACTTGTATCATCTAATTGAAATGCAGTTTATACTCGCCGGAGGGGCGAACACAAGAAAAATCAACAGGCTTATACAGGGCGTTCGATGG